CTGTGTTTTGAAGTTGTTATGGTATTCTTTTAGAACACACACACACACACACAGTGTCTTCACTATGCTGTTGTTGTGACACTCTTCTCACCTCCTCATCAGAGTGGTGTAATGTGTGATCTTGTCACTACGCTATGTAAATAACAAACTCTTTGGCCCTAACTCCACGGGCGGATGCACACCAATAGCCACCAGAGACATTCCACTGTCCTGACATTTTCTTCCCTGACCTCCAGTCTCGCTCCGCTCCTCTGACCTCCTCTTTTAATATTTATCTTGGACAATGGTCCACTCATTGGTAAAAGTGTTTAGAAATCCAAGCGATTACCAGGCATATAATTTTTTATAATTCACATTTCTGGGGTATTAAAAAAGGTTAGATTGCACCATCAGGTTGAGTCTTTAACGGGTGCAGGTGCTGATTAAGTTGATTCACTGAGGCAATTACAGCCGGATCCCCTTTAATTAGTCTGGCTTTATGGCGTCTCTCTGTAGCACCAGGATCATGGAGCAGCTAGGTAGACCCTCCAGCCGCAGGAGGATAGTTGTGAGTGAGTGAGTGAATGAGTGTGTGTGGTCTTGCCTGTGTGCTTGCATATCTGCAAGACACACATACACAAGTACTTACGCATGCAATCACACACAATTCTATTCACATACACACGTGAATGTATATGCATACCCACATTCTCAAACACATACACACGTGAATGTATATGCATACCCACATTCTCAAACACATACATGCACACATACACTCAACAGCATTGATTTACATAAATTCACAAACATACTCTCACAAACAAGCAGGTACCCATACAGCTTGCTGTCTATAAGGAGACGCGGTACTAAATGGACATGTATGTAGAGTGAGCGGGACTATGAAAAGCTTGTACGAGTGTGGCAGAGACTGATGCACCGACATGGCAAGGAGAGATAAGGCTAGTGGTTGAGGGAACCATGTGTAATATACTAACTCACTCACACACACACACACACACACACACACACACACACACACACAGCACATAAAGTCTCACAGGCGCACAAAGTTTCTTATCACACACACTTGCCACCCCTCTCAACACAGAAGTGCAGGAGAACTGAGTCGACAGCTACATAGCAGGTAATATCCCGCACCTTCAGCCCCGGTGAGGTGCTGGCTCCTTTCTTCTCAGGCTGCGGATGCATCTGGTTAGTAAAAGCTGACAGATGGCTGGCCAGGACTGAGAGGAGATGGGAATGAGGCATTTTGGTGTTCCCCCACATCACCCGGGAGACGTGGGAATGCTGGAGCGCTCCCAATTCGCCTGAGATTCCCTGTCACCGGGAATGGAAATCGAAACCGGCACACACATCCGTTATCTAAATGTTAACTCCAGTGCCCTCCGTGTTGTCACAGCCAGGCAAGGTTAGCCAACACCGACTAGGAGGCTTTTCTTTGGGTTCCTGCCATGGCAGCGCTCAACAGAAAGAGGGGACACGGACACCTCCCATTCCCAACACAAAGACACATTCTAGTGGAAATTGACCACATCTTAACTATTTCATTTAAATTCTTCAGAGTTTCCTTCAGGTCTTTGCTGGACATCTTTAGGCGACACCCCAAAGATCCCAAATGATCTTAGTGGGTGTTGATGCATTGCTGCATAGGGCCAGCAGAGACATGAGGCATACAACACCTCAGCACTCCTCAGGAGCCCAAAGAACTGAGACAGGATAGGACGGGACAGGACAGACAGACAGGACAGGATGGGGGAGGAGAGAGAGACAGGACAGGATGGGACAGGACAGGACAAAACGGGACAGGGTAGGGTAGCACAGGATTGAACAGGACAGAACGGGCCAGGACAGAACAGGCCAGGATGGGACAGAACAGGCCAGGACGGAAGGGGACAAGGTAGGGCAGGACAAGACAGGGGTGAGAAGAGGGGACAGATGCGGATGTGGACAGACTTTGAACGGAGACGTCCGTGCACCAGGCAGTATTTATGTTCTGACGACTGCTAGAGCGAATATATTTAGCCTGCTAGACTTATCACGCCAAGATGAGATTTCAAAGTGGTGGAGGTACCTGTTTGAAGAAGCACTGCATTCCATTCCACAGAGGTGGATGAGGGAGGGGCGAGGGCCAGAGGTGGATAAGGGAGGGGCGAGGGCCGGGCGTAAATGTAACACCGCTGAACCTGGTGTAGGGACAGGGACGGTTTGGGAGGGGACGGGTCCAGACACCTGAGAGGAGGACTTCACACTAACACTGCATGTCAGTGTGTACATAGGTCACAATCCATGAATGAACACACACATACAAACACACAAGCATGCACACACACACAGTGCATACACACACACTAAAGCTTACCGTATGCTTCACAGTCGAAACAGTTTGCACATATATTATGACATTTTGTGACGATTTTGTTCGTTTTGGTGTTCTGCAGGGGTTTTTTCAGGCTGTTCGTGCTCAAGACATTTTTTCTTGAGGTGAGTCGAAGTTCGGTAGCCGAAGTCTACGCCCCTTCGTCGGTGATTGGTCAACAGCATTACTCCTAGGAGTGGGAACTATGGACGGGATTCTTCAATGAAGTGCTTGTTTTCATTCAACGAGAGGCGACTAGTTTTCATGCACATTTTTTCACTTGAGAAATACTGCACCAAACATCTTAGCTTAGATAGATGTAAAATTGAACGAATAAGGCCTCCTTATAAAAACGTCAAAATTAATTACAGATTTCTTGATTTATCTAAGATCAGGGCTCTCCAACCCTGTTCCTGGAGAGCTACCCTCCTGTAGGTTTTCACTCCAAGGCTCCAACTCCTGTTGAACTAACCTGAATCAGTTTATCAACCAGCTAAGTATTGGAATCAGGTGTGCTAGATTAGGGTTGGAAAACCTACAGGACGGTAGCTCTCCAGGAACAGGGTTGGAGAGCCCTGTCTTAGATTGATTCTGACTATTTTGAGGAAGTGTATACTGGCTATGTTGTTGCTAAGGTTTCTCAAGAGGGACAAACAGTAATATTTTCAAGCGAAGGTACGCGAGCACAGACAAACCTACAGTGCCTTCAGAAAGTATTCACACCCCTTGACTTTTTTCATATTTTGTTGTGTTACAAGATGGGATTAAAATGGATTTAATTTTCATTTTTTTGTCAACGATTTACACAAAATACTCTGTAATGTCAAAGTGGAAGGAAAATTTTAACATTTGTAAAAAAAAATAATATGAAAAACAAAACACTAATATATTTTGATTACATTTACGTAGACACTCTTATCCAGAGCGACTTACAGGAACAATTAGGGTTAAGTGCCTTGCTCAAGGGCACACCGACAGATTTTTCACCTAGTCGGCTCGGGGATTAGAACCAGCGACCTTTCAGTTACTGGCACAACACTCTTAACCACTAAGCTACCTACCTGAGTCAATATGTGTTAGAATCACCTTTGGGAGTGATTACAGCTGTGAGTCTTTCTGGGTAAGTTGCTAAGAGCTTTGCACACCTGGATTGTACAATATTTGCACATTATTCTATTTTAAATTCTTCAAGCTCTGTCAACTTGGTTGTTGATCATTGCTAGACAGTGATTTTCAGGTCTTGCCATAGATTCTCAAGCTGATTTAAGTCAAAACTGTAAATAGGCCACTCAGGAACATGTGCCCCCTACCATCCATCATGTTGTGCTCTGGGCTGCAGCAGACCTGGCTGGGTATACACAGCTCTGAGTTCATGAAGATGGCCAATACCCAAATTAACCAGCTCTCTACATTATAAATGCAACATGTTTAATGGCACTGCAAGATCAAAGGTTATACTGCACCGCAATGATATGAGGGTTTAACAAGTGCACAATTAAAGAAGGCTAATGTCAAACATCTACAGTAGAACAGTGGAATGTAACAGGGTAGGATTTACTATCATGTTTTGTGTGAATGTAATTTTCTGACACATTGTATTGAAGGGTCTTGCTCTAGCCCTCAGAGACTCTGTAGGCCTAGTCCCAAGAACTTGCGTGCTGCCGATTCTGCCAAAACCCTGCTTCATTCCATTCCCGCGCATTACACGACAAGTCGCCCAAGGGCTGCGTGACCAGCGACACAAGCCATTTCCTCCTGTGAATGACACAAAAATAAAATCTTTATTGAGCGTCTGTCTGTGAGCTCCAAACTCTGGGACAGAAGGATGCCTCTCATGGAGTCCCTTTCATGTGAGGAATGTGCTCGGCTGGGCAGATTAGATTTTCTGGAATCCACAAAGTCAACGACACTATTGGCAGCTGTGCTCTGTTAAACAGGAGGGCATGGTTGTGGGGGGTTAGAGTGTGTGTGTGTGTGGCTTTGTACAGCCGCTGCATGCCTACTTACTGCATTTCCCCCGAGCCCATCCATGACTCATTAATCAAATATTCATACATCCCTGTAAATACATGGTGAACACAGCAGTCCCTTACAGCACACAGCAGCCAGCCCCGTGCCCCCCAGCTAAACACTCTTTCATGTTCACCTGGGGCCTGACAAAAATCCACAAATTCTACCCTTCATAACATTCCCCCTCCCATGTCATTCCTCTCCACAGCCACAGCACCAAAACATTGCTGCATATTTGATAAATTGATGTCCATCTCTCCGTCCACACAGCCAGTCTGTTTGGCCCTAAAAACTGCCTGTTATGTACTGATCAGACACATCCTCTAAAATGATGCTATTATGTCCTCTGCCAGCTCTCTGGTTCCCCTCTCTCTCTCTCAGTGAATGGACATGAGAACAGATCCCTGATTCTTCCTCTCGGTCTCTCTTTCCATCCTCACCCCTACCCTGGCATCCTCTCAGAAACTGGAACCCCCGACCCCCTAACCCAAGGCCAAGCTCCTCACAATACAATAATTTGTATTGTACGTGAAAACATGTACAGCATGGCTCAAACGATGGGGGCACAAGAAATATTACCCATGGCAACAGTGCGTCGTTGCACACAAGGATATTTTATTTTCCTCTGCGGGCGGACACAATCCCAGCCTGTGTCAGAGGGTCACATTTTTCCCGCCGGCTGGTTAATGGGCTGTAGAGATGGCTAGCACATACGATTAGTTTTAATCTAGTACATTTGACTGGGTAATAAACAGGACTTCAACACATGACACGTTTTGTATTATGCATTGCAAGATGAGACAAAACAAAAATATTTGTTTTTCCCAGAGCTCTCTCTCTTTAATGCTTGTAAAGAGGTGTACAGATCAGATGAGAAAATCTAAAAGGTTTTATGACTTTATTCTACTTTGCTGCACAGCAGTGTGAGAATCAATATTGTGATAAAGAGCTGAATTTTGTGAACATTTGGCAACACGGGCAGAATGTAGCTGTCTTTATGCATTTACAGTTCAGGGGCTGATCTTGAAACAGTCACACATAATCGTACAACATTTCAATTACATTCAACCCACATAACAAATTGTGGATTCTACAAATGTCACCATTTAAATGAGATGATTCAATTACCGCAATTAACTTAGTATGTGGTTATAGTGTATTTAAAGTTTGTAACTAGTGTAATTATTGTGAAAGTACAAAGAGAAGCAAGGTATTGTACCGGTCCCCTCTATAGATGGGTTTGACTGTGACATTGGAAAACCATTCCATTTAGACATTTAATTTGCTTTGAAATAAATAAATAACTGTTATGAACCAAAGTAATGTATCTTCTTGAAATGATTTGGCAACATAAAACTTTTCCCCCTAATGTAAATGTGGTCTCGAAATCACAAGAGTGTAACCTTAGAACATATTTTACCATTAAAACCTCCAGTACTTTTGGAGTATTGCTAAATACTTCTAATTACAGTATGTGAACGGCACTCTCCTATAGCACTTCACTTTGTTATAAGGCCCAGCTACAGAACCACAGTGATATCCTCACACATATCCTATGATGACTACCATCTACTAAAGTGCAGCAATGATTTCCTTACAAGGCAAATGTGTGTTATATTTGGCTGAGAGTTAGTCTTCCAATAAGCCAAGGCACCCAATTCTCCATCGGTATCAATAATGCAGTGTATAAGATACAGTACAGCGCATAACCCTCATTACAACCTCATACCCCTTACAGACCCATGGTATGTTTGTTTGATATTTTGCCCTATGTTACTGATTTCCATGGAACAGTCAAAACTAACAGCAACTATCTACAGTATAGGATAATTATAATATTTTTAGGTTTTGCGTATTAAGTCATGAATGCTGGTGTGAGGAAAATGTAATACTGGCTATGTATCTTCATAATTGTGTAATAGATACCAGATCCATGTCTGGGATGGGGTTGTGAGAGGTCCAGTTTGCAGAGTCCTGGCCTTGGATAAGCCTGTTTCAGTCTGTCTGGTAAAGTCACTTTGCCAGTCGTTGAAAAGTCTCAGACCATGACCTTTGACCTTGGCGTCGGCCTTCAGAGCAGCACGAAGTCTCCAGCGGTAGCGGCCGCTCTCTGTGGGTCACGGATAAACGGCCATTCCCTCTTCTCCGGGGTCAACTCTGCTGAAAGGTTGTAATCTTTTCCGTGACCTTGCATGAAAGTGAATGCTGGGTATTTCTCCTTTGCTGATGGCAGCAACACCTGATACACAGACAAACACAGACATAAAGAAAGTTATATAAAAGTCTAAAAAGTTTAATTGAGTTAAGATGCGAGCATCCTGCATGAAAGCAATACAGTTGTAGAGCATGGACAAGGGACAGGAGAAGGGAGGGGGAAACTGCCTCAGATTTACAGCTAAATAGTGCCACCTGGTGGCCAGTTCATTGAACTTCTCTTAGACATACAACATACTGTATATGTATAATAAGGTCATTATAGCAGACACTTTTATCTACAGTTAACACATATATCCTTTCCTCTCACTCACATTATATGCTTTCATATTGGGGTATTAATGATATCTGATGACAATTATTAAGAAATAAACTAAGATGATTTTGACCAAATCGTAACGGCTTTAGTTCACCCACCTTGGACAGTTCGTGGCTGATTGTCTGGTAGTCCTGGACACTTCTAGAGTAGAAGCCTATGGTACAACTGGGGTCCATCTTACTGAAAGGCATCTTCTTTGGCGACGGGCAATGATACGACTAAAAATACAAAACACAAATTGACAGCAATTGTTATTATTACTGCTTATCTAAAAGAAATCGATGGTTTAATTGATCGTGATAATACAGTAAAGTATTGAATATATAAGTATGAAATAGGTAGGAAAGTTTATGAATATAAAATGTTATGTTTTATGAATGCAATGAAATTCTAATTCATCTGTTGTCACACTCACAGACTGGTGAAAATAAAAATATAGCTCTGTTTCTGGTCTCTTGTCCCATTGTGTGCTGGCTCTACAGGCAAGTATCAGGAAAAGTTCCAACGCAGTAGTCAATGATAAATGCAGGTTTTTATGTGTTCTACTGCTGAAATATTCAGGATCATAGTATCTGAGCCTCTCTATATTCCCCATACTTCTCCTCCACAGCAGCCTCACATATCTGAGTAGCAAATAAATCAGCAGCCAGGGACTCAGTAATTGAACGGAGGCTGCTTTAGGATTCATACCCTTAAGTACTAACAGAAACTATTAAATTCCCATTACTGAGCCCCAGTCAGCTCAGTGTGATTTCCCATTACCTGAAGAGGGAAATGGTTAGTGCTGACATCCACAGAAGACTGACAGTAATGAGGGTCCATGTAAATCAAGCTGTCATCTGCAAGGACAAAACAAAAGACAAGTTATTCAAAAACATCTGATTATTACAAACGCTACCACACCGACAAGCGACGACGTACTCCTTCCCCCCCAATTTCTATGCAGAGTAACTCAAAAGTCATTTTGCTAGGCTACTGTTAGCATTCTTACAGTCAAATACACCTCCTGTTTTTTAATATCGACCAGGGTGGATTAAACTCTGCATAATCGAATGCTGTTGTATACAAGCACATTTTTTACCCCCGGCCGCAGAAAGGGGGCTGTCATTAAATTTTTGTGTGGGGAAATTACTTTTACAAACACGCAATTATATTCGTCCATTTGCATATGATGTATGCAGGCCAGAGTGGCGTCTTGGCAGGGAGAATGTATGGCTTGTCATTTAGACATCATCCGGCACTGTATTTCAAATCGGTCAAATGTAAATGTGTAAATATTGACTGCCAAGATGTACCACTGAAGGTTCCTCCCGTCCGCTGAAGGTGATGGAGAGTGGCTCACTCTGGGGCCCCACTGGATGGATGAGAATGAAACGATATGCATAATGTCTCCTATGGAAATCAATTACGGACACAACTTGGAAGGTTTACCCATTGTGATAAATGAGTAGGGCTTTGATGGGTCAGAGAAAATAAAATAAGTGCTGTTTCTCACACACACGCACCTCTCCTATACTCTCCTCTCTCCTCACAAACACGAATGCATTCACTTTGTCTCTTCATACAGAGAAGAGAAGAGAGAGGGGACAGTAGGGTAAATTATCTCCACTTCCCTCTAGTCTTTAGTCCTCTGGTTGGTTGCTGGGTAAAACACTAACCTTGAAAGCCAACGAAGTAGCAGGCCTGTTTGGGCTTGCCCCCGATGATGCCGATACAGTACTCCAGACTCAATATGCTCTGAGGAGGATGGAGACCAGGGGACACACGGTCAAATACTCAGCCATTTAGAACAGGTTTATGTACTGCTGTAAGAAATACTGTCTACGGTCAGATCTAAGTTAGCTGGGAAGGGGGTCTACTAATCATGAGCAGCTGTGCTGGTAAAGCCTTTTGTTTTATGTCAATATCAAATCATGTCTGGGTAACAATTAAGTACCTTACTGTAATTGTTTTAAATTAAAATGGTAAAAATGGGCACAAAAATAGCGTTTTCTCAAGCAATAATTTTGCTATGACTGTCTGGGAAAACTGAAAAATTAGCTGTTATTAGCAGAGAGGTTTGGAACTCTATTAACTAATTTACCACCTGGCCAAAACTCCTCCCACCAAAACAGGCTGAAATTTCAGGCGGTCTTTTCAAATAGCTCTTACACTAAAAGTGATGATCATAATTTTCACACTTTCACAGTATTATTCCAACCTCATTGTGGAAATATATATAACACACAGGACAAACGTTTTTGACTGCACTGGGCGTTTAAGACAAAATAAATTAAAGAAATTCGCACACTATATGTACTTCCAACTATTTAATGGGTAAACTTCATCACCAACGTTTGCAACGCAGTGAAGAAAAAAATAAAACTCTGAAAAAGGCATTGCTGAAGCGTTGGTGATGAAGTTTACCCATTCAATCTATTTGAAACTTTTTATTTTCATCCACTTTATTCTCCGTTACTCTTCAAACCTTTCAGGGTGTGCGTCTGCTCATGCTTTTTATAGGACACTTCCCTGCAGACACAACCTTTCATCTGAATTCGGAATGCAAATATAGTACTGTGTCTGTATTTTCCCTAACACACAGGCTCTCTGATTAAGCTACAGGTCCCTTTTTCTGTCTGATATCACATTGTGCTAGTAAGTGTATGTGTTTTCTGTACATTCACAACTCCCTTTAGTTTAATTAGTGCTTTTCAAATCACAACTCACTCATTTCTATATTCTAGACAGGATCATCCTAAAAGGGTTATGCTATTGTTTTTCCCACCTTGACAAAGTTGAAGTACTCTGGGTTGGTCTTCTCTCCCCCCAGCCGGACTGGGATGAGAATGATGACCGCCCGGCTGTCCGTAAGGGGCGGGGCATCGGCTCCCCCAGCCACACACGACTGGTGGCTATCGATGACATCAGCACTGTACACTATGGGGGATCAATACCAGAGGTCAGACAGGGGTCAAACGTCTGCCTGGTCATCTGCCTGCCTCTAAACCCTGCAATTACAAATTGAAGGACATTTGCAATGATCATGAATGTTCTTACTATAAAGTGAATATTTCTAAACAGACGCAGTCGAGTGTTATTACACAGGTAGGCTATAGAGCAACTTCTGCTCTCTCACCCAGGTCTCCAATCATAAGAGTGTGTCTGCATTCTGTACAGTAGTGAGAGTGTAATCCACTGCTGCTGTCCACATCACTCATTCTTATAGTGCCCTATTATTTTACCAGCACTGATCTCCTCTAGATCCTGCAGCTCTCATCTTAACATTCTCCTCTCTCTCACACAACCAGTCCCAATCACTCGCTGTTGAGAAGAATGACCATTCAAAATCCAGGTTATTGGATGGAGGAGGATTTAGGATGGGAGGGTTGGAGGAGGTTAGCCTCCTGTCACCTCTCTCCTGGACAGCTCTCTCTCTCTACCTATCCTCTCTCTAGCCTCCTCTCTTTATCCTCCCCCTCCCCCTCTCTCTCTCCTCCCTCTATCCTCTTTATCCTCTCTCTCTATATATCCTCTATCTATCCAGCGAGGCGAGCGCGAGCCGCCCGCACGGCGCGAGCCGCGCGCGGGAGCAGCGCGCGCGCCCGCGAGCCGCCAGCGCGGGCGGGCCGCCCCCCCGCGCGCGCGCGCCGCCCGCGCGCGCGCCCGCGGGAGCCGCCGCGCGCGCCCGCGCAAAAGCCCGCGCGCCCACGAAAAGCCCGCGCGCGGCCGCGAAAAGCCCGCGCGCGCCCGCGAAAGCCCGCGCGCGGCCGCGAAAAGCCCGCGCGCCCCACGAAAAGCCCGCGCGCCCACGAAAAAGCCCGGCGCGGCCGCGAAAAGCCCGCTCGGCTCCCTCTAAAATCCCTCTCTCTCCCTCTAAAATCCCTCTCTCTATCCTCCCTCTCAAATCCCTCTCTCTATCCTCCCTCTCTCTATCTCTAAAATCCCCCCCTCTCTCTCTCTCCCTCTATCCTCCCCCTCTATCCTCCCCCTCTCTCCATCTATCCTCTCCCTCCATCCTCCCTCTCTATATTCCAGCTCTATATCCACTGTCCTTCTACATTGTGTTTCTCTGTGTTTCTCCTGATGACATGCCCAGACCCTGGGCCCAGAGGTGGTTCATCTGTCATACCTGCACAGTCCTGGGAAACATAAGCAGTTATGCCCGACAGCCCAGGGTCTGTTGCCTCCTCTACAGCTTTTCTGAGTGAGAAAGAGAGGGAAAGAGAGAGAAAGAGAGAGAAAGAGAGGGAAAGAGAGAGAAATATTGTTATTTGGTGGCCACCAAGAATGGTTGAAACAGCATTAATATAACCCTAGAACCAGACCCACCTCAGGATGTGTGCCACCACAGCAGGGCCATACCAGTCCCCTGCCCGTTTCCCAGACACCAGGCCTAACCCCACCAGCCTGTGGATACCCAGCTGTGCCTGGGGGCTGTCCCCAAGCCAGGACACCAGGGTGCGGTGGTAGACCTCCCTCAGGTGGGTGTCAGCCTCCTCCGCTCCCCCAGGGGCCCCCAGAGCATGAAGCATTGGCCCTGGGTCCGAGGGCCTCTCCCCCTGCAGTGAGGCCTCCAGGCCAGCCACCAGACGCTTGGCTGCACTGGTGGTCCAGGTCTCTGTGTCCAGAGGCTGGAGAGCCAACGCCTCCGACCATGTCCAGTCTGAGGCACACAGACAGAGGAGGAGGGTCAAAGGGATTTTTTAACACCTGGTATATATCCCAACCAGAAACCATGGATTACAGGCAACATCCGCACCGAGCTAAAGGCTAGAGCTGCCGCTTTCAAGGAGTGGGACACTAATCCGGAAGGTTATAAGAAATCCCACTATGCCCTCAGATGAACCATCAATCAATCAATCAATTTTATTTTATATAGCCCTTCTTACATCAGCTAATATCTCGAAGTGCTGTACAGAAACCCAGCCTAAAACCCCAAACAGCTAGTAATGCAGGTGTAGAAGCACGGTGGCTAGGAAAAACTCCCTAGAAAGGCAAAACCTAGGAAGAAACCTAGAGAGGAACCAGGCTATGAGGGGTGGCCAGTCCTCTTCTGGCTGTGCCGGGTGGAGATTATAACAGAACCATGCCAAGATGTTCAAAAATGTTCATAAGTGACAAGCATGGTCAAATAATAATCAGGAATAAATCTCAGTTGGCTTTTCATAGCCGATCATTAGAGTTTAAAACAGCAGGTCTGGGACAGGTAGGGGTTCCATAACCGCAGGCAGAACAGTTTAAACTGGAATAGCAGCAAGGCCAGGCGGACTGGGGATAGCAAGGAGTCACCACGGCCGGTAGTCCCGACGTATGGTCCTAGGGCTCAGGTCTCTCAGTTGGCTTTTCATAGCCGATCATTTAGAGTTGAAAACAGCAGGTCTGGGACAGGTAGGGGTTTCGTAGCCGCAGGCAGAACAGTTGAAACTGGAATAGCAGCAAGGCCAGGCGGACTGGGGGCAGCAGGGTGTCATCATGCCCGGTAGTCCTGACGTATGGTCCTAGGGCTCAGGTTCTCAGAGAGAAAGAGAGAACGAGAGAATTAGAGAGAGCATACTTAAATTCACACAGGACACTGGATAAGACAGGAGAAGTACTCCAGGTATAACCAACTAACCCCAGCCCCCCGACACATAAACTACTGCAGCATAAATACTGGAGGCTGAGACAGGAGCGGTCCGGAGACACTGTGGCCCCATCCGAAGAAACCCCCGGACAGGGCCAAACAGGAAGGATATAACCCCACCCACTCCGCCAAAGCACAGCCCCCGCACCACTAGAGGGATATCCCCAACCACCAACTTACAATCCTGAGACAAGGCCGAGTATAGCCCACAGAGGTCTCCACCACAGCACAAACCAAGGGGGGGGGGGGGCGCCAACCCAGACAGGAAGATCACGTCAGTAACTCAACCCACTCAAGTGACGCACCCCTCCCAGGGACGGCATGAAAGAGCACCAGCAGGCCAGTGACTCAGCCCCTGCAACAGGGTTAGAGGCAGAGAACCCCAGTGGAGAGGGGAACCGGCCTGGCAGAGACAGCAAGGGCTGTTCGTTGCTCCAGCCTTTCCGTTCACCTTCACACTCCTGGGCCAGACTACACTCAATCATATGACCTACTGAAGAGATAAGTCTTCAGTAAAGACTTAAAGGTTGAGACCGAGTCTGCGTCTCTCACATGGGTAGGCAGACTGTTCCATAAAAATGGAGATCTATAGGAGAAAGCCCTGCCTCCCGCTGTTTGCTTAGAAATTCTAGGGACAATTAGGAGGCCTGCGTCTTGTGACCGTAGCGTACGTATTGGTATGTACGGCAGGACCAACTCGGAAAGATAGGTAGGAGCAAGCCCATGTAACGCTTTATAGGTTAACAGTAAAACCTTGAAATCAGCCCTTGCCTTAACAGGAAGCCAGTGTAGGGAAGCTAGCACTGGAGTAATATGATCAAATTTCTTGGTTCTAGTCAGGATTCTAGCAGCCGTATTTAGCACTAACTGAAGTTTATTTAGTGCTTTATCCGGGTAGCCGGAAAATAGAGCATTGCAGTAGTCTAATCTAGAAGTAACAAATGCATGGATTAATTTTTCTGCATCATTTTTGGACAGAAAATTTCTGATTTTTGCAATGTTACGTAGATGGAAAAAAGCTGTCCTTGAAACAGTCTTGATATGTTCGTCAAAAGAGAGATCAGGGTCAAGAGTAACGCCTAGGTCCTTCACAGTTTTATTTGAGACGACTTTACAACCATCAAGATGAATTGTCAGATTTAACAGAAGATCTCTTTGTTTCTTGGGACCTAGAACAAGCATCTCTGTTTTGTCCGAGTTTAAAAGTAAAAAGTTTTCAGCCATCCACTTCCTTATGTCTGAAACACAGGCTTCTAGCGAGGGCAATTTTGGGGCTTCACCATGCTTCATTGAAATGTACAGCTGTGTGTCATCCGCATAGCAGTGAAAGTTAACATTATGTTTTCGAATAACATCCCCAAGAGGTAAAATATATAGTGAAAACAATAGTGGTCCTAAAACGGAACCTTGAGGAACACCGAAATGTACAGTTGATTTGTCGGAGGACAGACCATTCACAGAGACAAACTGATATCTTTCCGACAGGTAGGATCTAAACCAGGCCAGAACTTGTCCGTGTAGACCAATTTGGGTTTCCAGTCTCTCCAAAAGAATGTGGTGATCGATGGTGTCAAAGGCAGCACTAAGGTCTAGTAGCACGAGGACAGATGCAGAGCCTCGGTCTGACGCCATTAAAAGGTCATTTACCACCTTCACAAGTGCAGTCTCAGTGCTATGATGGGGTCTAAAACCAGACTGAAGCATTTCGTATACATTGTTTGTCTTCAGAAAGGCAGTGAGTTGCTGCGCAACAGCTTTTTCTAAAATTTTTGAGAGGAATGGAAGATTCGATATTGGCCGATAGTTTTTTATATTTTCCGGGTCAAGGTTTGGCTTTTTCAAGAGAGGCTTTATCACTGCCACTTTTAGTGAGTTTGGTACACATCCGGTGGATAGAGAGCTGTTTATTATGTTCAACATAGGAGGGCCAAGCACAGGAAGCAGCTCCTTCAGCAGTTTAGTAGGAATAGGATCCAGTATGCAGCTTGAAGGTTTAGAGGCCATGATTATTTTCATCATTGTGTCAAGAGATATAGTACTAAAACACTTAAGTGTCTCTCCCGATCCCAGGCCCTCGCAGAGCTGTGCAGATCCAGGACAGCTAAGCCCTGGAGGAATACGCAGATTCAAAGAGGAGTCCGTAATTTGCTTTCTAATGGTCATGATCTTTTCCTCAAAGAAGTTCATGAATTTATCACTGCTGAAGTGAAAACCATCCTCTCTTGGGGAATGCTGCTTTTTAGTTAGCTTTGCAACAGTATCAAAAAGAAATTTTGGATTGTTCTTATTTTCCTCGATTAATTTGGAAAAGTAGGATGATCGAGCAGCAGTGAGGGCTCTTCGGTACTGCACGGTACTGTCTTTCCAAGCTAGTCGGAAGACTTCCAGTTTGGTGTGGCGCCATTTCCGTTCCAATTTCCTGGAAGCTTGCTTCAAAGCTCGGGTATTTTCTGTATACCAGGGAGCTAGTTTCTTATGACAAATGTTTTTCGTTTTTAGGGGTGCAACTGCATCTAGGGTATTGTGCAAGGTTAAATTTAGTTCCTCAGTTAAGTGGTTAACTGATTTTTGTCCTCTGACGTCCTTGGGTAGGCAGAAGGGGTCTGGAAGGGCATCAATGAATTTTTGTGTTGTCTGAGAATTTATAGCACGACTTTTGATGCTCCTTGGTTGGGGTCTGAGCAGATTATTTGTTGCGATTGCAAACGTAATAAAATGGTTGTCCGATAGTCCAGGATTTTGTGGAAAAACATTAAGATCTACAACATTTATTCCATGGGACAAAACTAGGTCCAGAGTATGACTGTGGCAGTGAGTAGGTCCAGAGACATGTTGGACAAAACCCACTGAGTCGATAATGGCTCCGAAGGACTTTTGGAGTGGGTCTGTGGACTTCTCCATGTGAATATTAAAATCACCAAAAATTAGAATATGATCTGCTATGACTACAAGGTCTGATAGGAATTCAGGAAACTCAGAGAGGAACGCTGTATATGGCCCAGGAGGCCTGTAAACAGTAGCTATAAAAAGTGATTGAGTAGGCTGCATAGATTTCATGACTAGAAGCTCGAAAGATGAAAACGTCATTTTTTTTTTTGTAAATTGAAATTTGCTATCGTAAATGTTAGCAACACCTCCGCCTTTGCGGGATGCACGGGGAATATGGTCACTAGTGTAACCAGGAGGTGAGGCCTCATTTAACACAGCAAATTCATCAGGCTTAAGCCATGTTTCAGTCAGGCCAATCACATCAAGATTATGATCAGTGATTAGTTCATTGACTATGACTGCCTTTGAAGTGAGGGATCTAACATTAAGTAACCCTATTTTGAGATGTGAGGTATCACGATCTCTTTCAATAATGGCAGGAATGGAGGAGGTCTTTATCCTAATAAGATTGCTAGGGTGGACACCACCATGTTTAGTTTTGCCCAACCTAGGTCGAGGCACAGACACAGTCTCAATGGGTATGGCTGAGCTGACTACACTGACTATGCTATTGGCAGACTCCACTAAGCTGGCAGGTTGGCTAACAGCCTGCTGCCTGGCCTGCACCCTATTTCACTGTGGGGCTAAAGGAGTTAGAGCCCTATCTATGTTGGTAGATAAGAGGAGAGCACCCCTCCAGCTAGGATGGAGTCCGTCACTCCTCAGCAGGTCAGGCTTGATCCTGTTTGTGGGTGAGTCCCAGAAAGAGGGCCAATTATCCACAAATGTTATCTTTTGGGAGGGGCAGAAAACAGTTTTCAACCAGCGATTAAGTGCTGAGACTCTGCTGTAGAGCTCGTCACTTCCCCTAACTGGGAGGGGGCCAGAGACAATTACTCGATGCCGACACATCTTTCTAGCTGATTTACACGCTGAAGCTATGTTGCACTTGGTGACCTCTGACTGTTTCATCCTAACATCGTTGGTGCCGACGTGGATAACAATATCTCTATACTCTCTACACTCGCCAGTTTTAGCTTTAGCCAGCACCATCTTTAGATTAGCCTTAACGTCGGTAGCCCTGCCCCCTGGTAAACAGTGTATGATCGCTGGGTGATTCGTTTTAAGTCTAATACTGCGGGTAATGGAGTCGCCAATGACTAGGGTTTTCAATTTGTCAGAGCTAATGGTGGGAGCCTTCGGCGTCTCAGACCCCGTAACGGGAGGAGTAGAGACTAGAGAAGACTCAGACTCAGACTCCGACTCGCTACATAATGGGGAAAACCGGTTGAAGGTTTCTGTCGGCTGAATGAGCGACACCGGTTGAGCATTCCAACAGTATTTCCCTCCAGAAGCCATGAGAAAGTTGTCCGGCTGCAGGGACTGTGCGGGGGGAGTTATACTAACGTTACTGTCTGTACTTACTGGTGGCACAGACGCTGTTTCTTCCTTTCCTACACTGATAATACTCTTGCCTAACGATTGCGTCTGAAGCTGGGCTTGTAGCACAGCTATTCTCGCCGTAAGGCGAGAATTCTCCTGTATATTATGAGTACAGCGACTGCAATTAAAAGACATCATGTTAATGTTACTACTTAGCTTCGGCTGTTGAAGATGTTGATGAGCCATGTCCAGATAAAGCGTCCGGAGTGAAAAAGTTGAATAAGGGAAAAAAAGTTGCGATGGAAAAACGGAAAATAACGTAAAGTTGGCAGCTAAAACGCACAGGAAAATGACTCTTCTGTCTCGGGATAAACGTCCGGGGTGAAAAAGTTTAACGAAAAAAGATGAGTGAGGACAAAACTAAAAAGTTGGTAAATTTGTTGAACACAGAGATTGATTAAACGTTTATTAAAAGTAAAACGTGAATAGTTTGGCAGGTAGCCAAGTAGCAACAAACAGCAGAGCAGCACGGAGACAATGCGGAAGCGAGACGGAAGTCACGTGTCACTGATCTGTCACAATCAAACAGGCAAAGTGTCAATACAGAACTAAGATTAAATACTACTACACCGGCTCTGACACTCGTCGGATGTGGCAGGGCTTGCAAACTATTACGGACTACAAAGGGAAAGCCAGCCGCGAGCTGCCCAGTGACGCGAGCCTACCAGACGAGCTAAATGACTTTTATGCTCGCTTTGAGGCAAGCAACACTGAAGCATGCATGAGAGCACCAGCTGTTCCGGACGACTGTGTGATCACGCTCTCCGTAGCCGATGTGAGCAAGACCTTTAAACAAGCCAACATTCACAAGGCTGCGGGGCCAGACGGATTACCAGGACGTGTACTCAGAGCATGCACGGACCAACTGACAAGTGTCTTCACTGACATGTTCAAACTCTCCCTGACAGAGTCTGTAATACCTTAATGTTTCTGGTAGACCACCATAGTCCCTATGCCCAAGAAAGCGAAGGTAACCTGCCTAAATGACTACCGACCCGTAGTACTCACGTCGGTAGCCATGAAGTGCTTTGAAAGGCTGATCATGGCTCACATCAACACCATCATCCCGGAAACCCTAGACCCACTCCAATTCGCATACCGCCCCAACAGATCCACAGATGACGCAATCTCAAATCGCACTCCACACTGACCTCTCCCACCTGGACAAAAGGAACACCTATGTGAGAATGATGTTCATTGACTACAGCTCAGCGTTCAACACCATAGTGCCCACAAAGCTCATCACTAAGCTAATGACCCTGGGACTAAACACCTCACTCTGTAACTGGATCCTGGACTTCCTGATGGGTGCCACCAGGTAGTAAGGGTAGGCAACAACATCTGCCAGGCTGATCCTCAACACGGGGGCCCCTCAGGGGTGCATGCTTAGTCCCCTCCTGTACTCCCTGTTCATCCACGACTGCGTGGCCAAGCACGACTCCAACACCATCAATAAGTTTGCTGACGACACAACAGTGGTAGGCCTGATCACTGACAATGATGAGACAGCCTATAGGGAGAAGGTCAGAGACCTGGCAGTGTGGTGCCAGGACAACAACCTCTCCCTCAATGTCAGCAAAACAAAGGAGCTGATCGTGGACAACAGGAAAAGGAGAGCCGAACAGGCCCCCATTAACATCCACGGGGCTGTAGTGGAGCAGGTCGAGAGTTAAGTTCCTTGGTGTCCACATCACCAACAAACTATCATGGTCCAAACACACCAAGACAGTTGTGAAGAGGGCACGACAACACCTTTTCCCCCTCAGGAGACTGAAAAGATTTGGCATGGGTCCCCAGATCCTCAAAAAGTTATACAGCTGCACCATCAAGAGCATCCTGACCAGTTGCATCACCGCCTGGTATGGCAACTGTTCGGCATCCGACCGTAAGGCGCTACAGAGGGTAGTGCATATGGCCCAGTACATCACTGGGGCCAAGCTTCCTGCCATCCAGGACCTATATACTAGGCAGTGTCAGAGAAAGGCCCAAAAAATTGTCAAAGACTCCAGTCACCCAAGTCATAGACTGTTCTCTCTGCTACTGCACGGCAAGCAGTACCGGAGCGCCAATTCTAGGTCCAAAAGGCTCCTTAACAGCTTATACCCCCAAGCCATAAGACTACTGAAAAATTAATAAAAATGGCCACCGGGACTATTTACATTGACCCCTCCCTTTGTTTTTATACTGCTGCTCCTCGCTCGCTGTTTATTATCTATGTTACTTTACCCCTACCTACATGTACAAATTACCTCGACTAACTTGTATCCACGCACATTAACTCGGTACCGGCACCCCCTGTATATAGCCTCGTTATTGCTATTTTATTATGTTACTTTTTATTTTAATTTTTTACTTTATTTTATTTAGTAAATATTTTCATAACTCTATTTCTTGGACTGCATTGTTGGTTAAGGGATGTAAGTAAGCATTTCACTGTAAGGGCTGTATTCGGCGCATGTGACAAATAATATTAGATCAGATGTATATATTTTCCACTTTGTTAGTTGAACACTCTGCTATTGAAGGAAATACTTTTAATTATAAAACATTTGTATGCGGCACGTATTATGTTCTGCAAATATGCCAATATCTTGAGAAAACAAAATGTAGGCTACATTCAGCACAAGAAAAGTTAAAGCTACAGCAAATGGTACTGGCATTCTGGCTCTCAGCTCGACTGTGGAAATGATCAAACTGAAAATATTTGGCCTGTCGTCTATGACAACGCCTCAGACACTGAACCACATTCTCCAGACCAAAGACTCTTAGAATAGAGTCTTTCAGAACTCAGGAAATAAAGTTTTGGCTTAAATCTTCTGCTATAACAGATTGTCCAGTTTGACTTTAAATAAGAGAATTAGAAAACCCTATGGTATAATAGTCCAATTATAGGCCTTTCAGTATGTCCAGTATTTCACTTTTACAGTGTTTTAGCCCTACAAACAGGGTGGGCACATGGGGTGGCGAGGGTGTGAGTGGCCAATGCCATAAAGGAGACGGACTAGGGCACCAGGCATTAACATAATGACCTTGCAGAGTGAATGAAAGAAGTGAAATTGATCAATAAATATCTTTAAGTGGCCATTAGTCATTTTATAGCTTAAAAGATGTATTTAATGACATACTGTATTTCACATTCAGTGGAAGAACAAGTTAAGGCTTAAATATTGTTTTCTAAATGGCTGCATTAAAATGGTAGTAAATGAGTTTCCTATTCTTTAGTGTGAATCTCAAGAGATCCTACTCTGAAGAACAGAGAAAGCATTTCAATGATGAAACTCATTAAATTATGAAATTCTCAGATTTTGTTTGACAAAGTACCCACAAGGAATGAGGAACCTCAGACTTTCCCTTTTTTTGTAAGAGATATAAGGGTCATACTATAGACTTGGATTGCATTCATTAGGGCACGCAACAGAAAATGTGTTTATTTTTTAATTTTTTTGCAATGGAAAACTAAAATAAGTATTTCTTACTGGACAAGTACAGGGGTGTACTCATTAGTGCACAATGTAGCAAACCGTAGCAAGAACGCAACTGTTTAAACTGTAGCAATATAAATTCTTATTGGACAATTTCAGGTTAGTCCCTCACCGTTTCAACCCGTTTTCTTCCTTTTGGTTCCTAGTGAGTATACCCCTGGTAGTCCCTCCCCATTTCAAAAGGTTTTCTTCCATTTAGTGCCTAATGAACACGACCCTGGCCCACTGCCATCCCACTGACCTCTGCCCAGGAAGTGTAGTATGAGGGCCTGAGCCAGCATCATTTGTCCTGCCCTCAGCATGCAACCCCAGCCACAGTCAGAGGTTAGGGTGGAGCCTGGCAGGGCAGGGAACTCCTCTCTGTAGGTCAACCACACACGGGACGCAAAGTCCCTCCGGAAGGCATCCACGTCACCCCCTGTGGCGGGGGATGCATCACAGGCCTCAGTGCTGCAGCTCTCTGTTGGGCTATCCTCATCTGAGAATGAGAGGAGACGACTGATCAATGAAATCACATTCAAATCAGATCAATCACTTAAATCACATACTGAAAAGGAGCCGGTGAGTATGAGTCTATTCGGAAAAGGAACACAGCAATGCAGACCGAAAATCAGTGTGTGTGTTACCTTACCTTCAGCCTTAAAATGGTAGCATTTCCCCAGAAGGAACACTGGGGAATTTCTGCTAAAGTAGGTTTTTGACTTCAAAGCCCAACCTAAAGATCAGAACGAAATAGTTAGTTAGTCATAGGGTGGGTAGTTGTGAATGAACTCTGTAGCTCAGTTGGTAGATCATGGATAAAATAATATGCTAAATGGCATATATTATTACACTGAACAAAAATATAAAAACGGAACATGCAATAATTTCAAAGATTTTACTGAGTTACAGTTCATATAAGGAAATCAGTCAATTGAAATAAATTCATTAGGCCCTAATCTATGGATTTCACATGACTGGGAATACAGATGTGCATCTGATGGTCAGACACCTTTAAAAAAAGGTAGGGGCGTGGATCAGAAAACCAGTCAGTATCTGGTGTGACCACCATTTGCCTCATGCAGCACGACACATTTCCTTCGCATATAGAGTTGATCAGGCTGTTGATTGTGGGCCTCAGGATCTCGTCAAGGTATCTCTGTGCATTCAAATTGCCACTGATATAATGCAATTGTGTTTCGTTGTCCGTAGCTTATGCCTGCCCATACCATAATCCCACCTCCACCATGGGGCACTCTGTTCACAATGTTGACATCAGCAAACCACTCGCCCACATGACACCATACATGTGGTCTGTGGTTGTGAGGTCGGTTGGACGTACTGTCAAATTCTCTAAAACGACGTTGGAGGCGGCTTATGGTAGAGAAATGAACATTCAATTCTCTGGCAACAGCTATGGTGGACATTCCAATTGCACGCTCCCTTAAAACTTGAGGCATTTGTGGTATTGTGTTGTGTCACAAAACTGCACATTTTAGTGTCCTTTTATTGTCCCCAGCACAAGGTGTACCTGTGTAATGATCATGCTGTTTAAACAGCTTCATGATATGCCACACCTGTCAGGTGGATGGATTATCTTGTCAAAGGAGAAGTGCTCACTATCAGGGATGTAAACAAATTTGTGCACAACATTTGAGAGAAATAAGCTTTTTGTGCATATGGAAAATGTATGGGATATTTTATTTCAGCTCATAAAACATGGGATCAACACTATACATGTTGCGTTTATATTTTTGTTCAGTGTATATTATAACTACTACTTGACAACACTGACATTTAAGGAACACAGATAGTATTTCTAGGGTCAGACAGAGGATCCGTGTAAAAAGGATATGGAGTATGAACACATGCTTGAGAAACTGCAGAGTCAGCCACAGTTGATTCTTATCAGAATAATCACACATGCTCTGATAATTATCACATCTATCATGTGCTGAAGTGAATGACAACTCAGCTGACAGCTGTTACATCTTACAAAGCCTGTTTTAAATGGCCGTGGTCAATTACATTAGAAGGATTGAGACAACGACGTGTAGAGGATAACAGTAGCCTAAAGGGGTCTGGAATAACCCTTACGATGCACTTACTGTACTTCACATTGTGCCATGCTGACAAGAACTTTGTCTTCAATTTCTCCACCTCATCAGTCCCTTTATTCTCCATTTTGACCACCAGGAAATTGAACTCATCCCAGCGTAGTTAACAACCGCACTGTCTTCCTGAAATGCTTCATTTGAATGGACAAGACATTCATTTTGTCATTTTAGTTAAAGACAAAGGCTTGAATCGAAACGGTAACGTTAGTGTTGCCGACTAGCAGTTTACCAACCTTGAACCCCCAGCTAGCTAACTAGTTAACTAACTAGCTAGCTAATCTATACCCCATCCAACTCCTTGTGGAAGTGTCATGGCAAACATGTTTGGATTACAATGAAAGCAATGGAGTTGGCCAAAGCAAAGCGCAAACAGTTAGCTAGCTAACGTTAGCGAACTAATTTACACATTGTTTAACTAGCTAGCAGTCACGCTAATAATTTAACTTTGCTTTTAGTCTCCGGTATAACAACATAGATCCGAGACTCGTTCGAAGAAATGTATACATGTAAAATAATTTAACAAAAAAGTTGGCATTTCAGTTTGATACTTACTGTGTATCTAGCTAGAAAACCAGCTCCCAGTGTTTACATTTTGAGGAAGCAAAACCACAAGCCAAGCACGCGACTCTCGCGGTGTTTGCTTCATTCTGCAACGTAAATGGTTCTGCGCGGCCACAGGCACAGAATCGCTTTTACATTTACATTCATTTTTACATTTTTACATTTTAGTCATTTAGCAGACGCTCTTATCCAGAGCGACTTACAGTTAGTGAGTGCATAAATTTTTTCATACTGGCCCCCCGTGGGAATTCATTCATTCAATTAAGTTGTTGGTGATGACCTAATTTTTTAATTGATCCATTACTTCAATCAATCCACTCAATTCAATTCAAATCAATCAATTCACTTTTAGGGTGGCAAAACATTACATTTCCATAAATGCTTTATAGTCAGATAGTGTATTGGGACTTGCATGATATTCAATAATCCAGTGAGGTTGTGATAAACTATTTGAAAAAAATGTAATTTTATTCAACATTAAATATGTGCTAAATGGCATTATGAAACTTGTATTCATTAAGTTTTTGGTGTCATGGAACAACACTGTCTGACCCGTGGCAGGGTGTGTTCGTATGCTCCTGCTTTATGAGGTTTACGGTAGCTATTCAGTCTCTTTTTTCCAGCAGCTGAGAGTAGTGGAAAGCCTGGGAATCCAAGCACATCAGCGGCTACAGCTATGGCTGAGCGCCGCGCCTTCGCCCAAAAAATCAGCAGGTAAGGGAGTTACTTCTAACTTTAACAGTGATTGCACTGACAGAGTCCCTCGTTCAAGCTACGCTGTTTTCAATCTTTAAAAACCTATCGTCCTCTGCGCTCCATTTCAAGGCAAAGCCATTCGCAATTAAGGCCCAGCCAGCTAGCATCCATCCAAGCTAGCTGTCGTTAGCCATATCAAAGATGCCCCAGTGTCAGTCGTAGACTCGCCCATAGAGAACAGGGGTCTGTTTTTCGCAATGTTATTTTTTGTCTCGTGCGGTTGCATTCATACCGGTTTGAAATTTACGTTTGACATATATCGTACTATCAAACCCAACCATTATATTTATTTACAAGGATTTAGCTAAATATTCATTGGACTGCGTGTAGAAAATCCGTAGTAACGTTAGACAGCTGAGTTACTTTGGTGGCTACGGCTGGGTGGATGCCACTGACACATCGACGAGACTTCATTGACACGGTAGCAAACAGTACAGTACCTAAAATCGTCATGGAGAGCGTTAGTTAGTTTACCTGTAAAAGCCCAAACATTATCAAAGCTATATCTGCCCCAGTTCAATGTATGCATTCAGATCTAATACGTCTATTGAAACGAACAAAGGGCTTTGTGTCAATTTCAGTTGCTTGCTGTGCATGCCAGTGGAATTAAAGCTGGATGTAAAACAATGGAGTGGAAAATGGGTCATATCTCACATGTAAAGAAAGAGTTTGTTATATCATTAAAAAAAGCCAAGGAGTAACCAATCGCAACATCCAACTGTTGATTGTAATTGTCAAACTGAAACTGCCAAAACATTATAAAGTAGTTAGCGAGATTATGTTGCCCAAATCACACTTAAACCGTATGTGGTAGATCAAATGAATAAGATGCCTTTAAGCCGTATTTAGTCCACCCATCAAACGTTTTACAGTACAGCAGTCTGTGCCAGGAGGCAAATTATAAGCCTATTCATAATGGTAATTGTGGCTGTGGGGTTGGTTTCAGTTTAGGAGTGACTAGTGTCTGCAGTATTTTGACATTTGCCAAGCCGTAAGTGTAAAAAGGAGGTTATGAAGCAGTTGTTGTCAACATAAAGTACATAGGCCTACCAAGAATGTCTGCACAAATAAAGAAGAGAGAAACAAATAAGTGATGTATGGACATAACCCTTCTATAGAGAATAATCACACACACACACGTCTTACTATACTTGAGGACTTTTTGTGGACCAACAATTGATTCCCATTCAAAATCCTATTTTCCCTTACCCTAACCTTAACTCTAAACCTAACCCTTAAGCCTAAAATAGCCATTTTACAAGTGAGGACGAGAGAAATGTACTCACTTCTCTGAATTTTAGTTGGGTTACTAGACTTCTGGTACTCACAAGTATAGTAAAATGTGTAGACACAAACACACACACACGGTTGATCTCAGACCTCCATGTTTGAGGAAGGAGCACCACCACCCCCAAAGGATTATGGTTTATCTTTGAGGGTTTTTGGAAAGCTCTGCCTTCAGTTTATTCACATCAGATCAGATGGATAAAGCAATGTGATGACATCTCCTGGTATTATTTAGAAATTACTGACAGAATGAGACTGTAAGAATAGCAGGTATTTTATCCATCATGTCTTCTGTTGTTGGTGTGAGTCTGGCTGTCTTTGTATTAGTAGGACTGGGGGAGTATGGCTCTGTTCTGCATATTGTCTGATCTGAACAAAAGCATTTCTGTTAAGTATTTTCTTCCCAAATGTCATCTCAGAAAGTCTAAACCTTTTGGAAGACTTTAGAGACAGTGGGGCCTGTTCAAAATCCCTTTCATCTTTGGAGTTGAGACTGAGGTTCAGTTCTTTCTCCTGAAGTCAGGCCAAAACAATGTCTGACTTGTGTTTTGCATTTAAACCTACAATATGTAACGTTTTGAGCGACCCAACCAAATTCACGTAGAAATGTGTTGTATAGATATCTAATTCTCATTGAAAGAAAGTCTAAAAAGCGGTTGATCTGTTCTATGAGCTCTTTCAATGCTTCCCGTTAAGTTTAGTTTGCTTTACTTTCAGTTTTATATTACTTTCAACTTTCAGTTTTGCATTACTTTTAATTACAGATCTATAACTCATATTTCTATGTGAATTTGGTCGGGTCATCCAAAAAGTTACATATTGCAGCTTTAAGTGTGTCAGGTGACCTTGTGTTCCTCCAGTGTTCCAAATATGCACTGCAGAGAGTGGTTATCTTAGTGCGATGAACAAAAAGGAGCGTGCTAGCCTTAATCACGTTGTCTGTTCCTCCTGACCTGAGCAGTGACCAGGCAGGCTAAATAAAGGTCCTGAATATAAGCTCCAGCAGCAGAACAGTGCTATGTATTGTAGCTGGTTCAGTGCATCTGCCTGTTATCCAGGTGACAGCACTGCAGTAGCCACCGGTGGATCTAGGCCTAGCCTACATCATAATGTCTTTCCTGAGTTGGAAAGTTATATGCTTTATTTCCACTTGCCTGAGATTCAGAAATTCATCCCTCCCTCCATCTCTTCAAGTTCCTCTCACATGACATTTTTATAATTTAATTGTTTGTGCCTCCCTCCCTGGGTTAGTGCTGCGTAGTTGTTTTGTTCAAGGTTCAAGGGTACGGAGGGGTTTTGATGGTGGCTGTGATTTAAAGGGACACAGAGTGGTGCAGTCAGTCAGCAGCAGTTGCCTAGCCAAGCGCTTTGTGTTGCTGACGGAGGTCCAGGGAATTGTATTTGTTCTCTCTCCTCTGTGGTGTGATAGAGTGCCGTGTCAGAGGGGGCAGTAAGGCCACCAGCAGGGCCAGGGAGAGAGCGAGCCCTGAGCCACAGCAGGGACCATAATAGTCATGTTTGGCCCACAACAGAACTGCTGGCCTTGACTGTACTGTACCTGACCTGCAGAGTGACCAGACCACTGCAGTAAATGGCCTTCTCTATTAACGTATTCCGCTTACACACTGCCTTGTCTTTCGCTTGCCCTTTTCAAACTCAAGTGTATGAGATGGCTTTACCGTAAGCAGCCTGGAGGCATCGTCTATGACTGTGTTGTGTGTGTGTGTATATAAGCAAAACCTAGATCAAATAGATACAAAATATAGCCTCAAGCTATAGGCTTACATGTTTTATCTGAGTCTGTTAGCTGTTTTGCATGATGTAACACGACAGCTTGATATTCACTGCTAAGCTTCTCTCTCTCTCCTCCCTGCAGAACTGTTGCAGCCGAGGTAAGAAAACAGATCGCTGGTCAGTATGGGGGCTCCCCACAGCTCCTCAAGAACCTCAACGTGGGTGCTGCCGCCAGCAACACCGTAAGTACCTACCCACAATGCATCTGGGTGTTCGGGGAGAGGTGAAGAGGGAGGGAAATAGGGTTGGAGTGTATCTGCTAACAATTAAGGTCCATTCTTCACACCCTCTCAACCCCTACTATAGTGTGGTCAGGGACTATACTGCCTGGCCCCTCCCACCAGTAAGTGTTTGCTGAGCCATTGACTTTTAGCGACCTTTAGCGCCCTAATGGCGTCCTCTCCCTAGTCCGACTACCGCTGAGCTGAAGGAGCAAATACCCATCCTTAATTAGGCTAAAGCTGACTGTTTAATTAAACTGTGAACGGATTGTGTTTGTGTTCTAAATTCCCCCCAAAAGCTTTAACTGAACTTAGTGAGGAATTAGACTCCCCCTGGGTGCTTTGTTTTTAGAAATAGACAGAAGCAAGCCTATAAAGCCATTAGACTATGCCTGAGGTGGTTTGCTAGCCAATACTTGCTTTTCCAGTTACTTCAGAGTTGTGAGCATTTCCTCAGTGATCCAAAGTGTCTGTCTGCCAATATAAAAGATAAGGTTCCCTGAGAATTTGATTTGTTTTAAAAAGGTTCTCGGGCTAGAACATGTCTCGTAACATGCATCAAGCCACAGGATTTGCTGACAGCTAAGTGTTGATATTTCTTTGCTAGTAATCCAGCTGGACTTCTTGGGGACAATTCTTTTTGGCAGCTAACCCAGTTTTTAATAGGTAGGCCTATTAAGAAATTATCTGATTTGGCACTCACTCACACAGCCTTTCCTCTCTGTTTCCAGGTTCCTCTCACAGAGGCAGTGGAGCCGGTAGACTTTGAGGAGTACCTCATCACCCATCCCCCCATCATCGAGTCGGGCCCCCTGAGGGACCTCATCGATTTCCCCCCGGATGACATCGAGGTGGTCTACACCCCCAGAGAGTGTCGTACCGTGGGACAGGTGGTGCCTGAGGAAGGGTAGGTGCTGCTGGGGACGGCTCGACTGGCTGGGTTAGAGTTGGTACTGAGGAACATCAATCAAATCAATCAATAAAATGTATTTATAAAGCCCTTTTTACATACAGTTGTCACAAATTTATTTTCAGTAGAAAGCGAAAGGGAAACAAAAAGTACAGTGTACTGCAAATGCTCATAACCCCTTAAATCAAAACCCTAACCAAACTGTGGAAAAACCCACTGTACCCCTCCACATCTGTCAACCTGCTGGAGCTTGATGGGGATATACCATCATCACGAAGGCTGGGGAAAGCCCCATACAGAACCAGTAGAGACTGTATTATTTTTTATTTTTTTATCAGTAGAGACGTTGTCAGAGACCTCTAGGCTGTAGAAGTAGGCCTACAGTGCCTTGCAAAAGTATTCATCCCCCTTGGCGTTTTTCCTATTTTGTTGCATTACAACCTGTAATTTAAATTGATTTTTTTATTTGGATTTCATGTGATGGACATACACAAAATAGTCCAAATTGGTGAAGTGAAATGAAAAAAAGAACTAGTTTCAAAGAATTCTAAAAAATAAATAACGGTAAAGTGGTGCATATGCATATGCATATATATATATATATATATATATATATATATATATATATATATATATATATATATATTTATATATATATATATATTTATATTTCACCCCCTTTGCTATGAAGCCCCTAAATAAGATCTGGTGCAACCAATTACCTTCAGAAGTCACATAATTAGTTAAATAAAGTCCACCTGTGTGCAATCTAAGTGTCACATGATCTCAGTATATATAAACCTGTTCTGAAAGACCCAGAGTCTGCAACACCACTAAGCAAGGGGCACCACCAAGCAAGCGGCACCATGAAGACCAAGGAGCTCTCCAAACAGGTCAGGGACAAAGTTGTGGAGAAGTACAGATCAGGGTTGGATTATAAGAAAATATCCTAAACTTTGAACATCCCATGGAGCACCCTTTTTAAATTCATTATAAAAAAATGGAAAGAATATGGCACTACAACAAACCTACCAAGAGAGGCCGCCCACCAAAACTCATGGACCAGGCAAGGAGGGCATTAATCAGAGAGGCAACAAAGAGACCAAAGATAACCTGAAGGAGCTGCAAAGCTCCACAGTGGAGATTGGAGGATCTGTCCATAGGACCACTTTAAGCCATACACTCCACAGAGCTGGGCTTTACGGAAGAGTGGCCAGAAAAAAGCCATTGCTTAAAGAAGAAAATAAGCAAACACGTTTGGTGTTCGCCAAAAGGCATTTGGGAGACTCCCCAAACATATGGAAGAAGGTACTCTGGTCAGATGAGACAAATTTAGCTTTTTGGCCATCAAAGAAAACGTTATGTCTGGCGCAAACCCAACACCTCTCATCACTCGAGAACACCATCCCCACAGTGAAGCATGGTGGTGGCAGCATCATGCTGTGGGGATGTTTTTCATCGGCAGGGACTGGGAAACTGGTCAGAATTGGAGGAATGATGGATGGCGCTAAATATAGGGAAATTCTTGAGGGGGAACCTGTTTCAGTCTTCCAGAGATTTGAGACTGGGACGGAGGTTCACCTTCCAGCAGGACAATGACCCTAAGCATACTGCTGAAGCAACACTTGAGTGGTTTAAGGGGAAACATTTAAATGTCTTGGAATGGCCTAGTCAAAGCCCAGACCTCAATCCAATTGAGAATCTGTGGTATGACTTAAAGATAGCTGTACACCAGCGGAACCCCTCCAACTTGAAGGAGCTGGAGCAGTTTTGCCTTGAAGAATGGGCAAAAATCCCAGTGGCTAGATGTGCCAATCTTTATAGAGACATACCCCAAGAGACTTTCAGCTGTAATTGCTGCAAAGGGTGGCTCTACAAAGTATTGACTTTACGGGGGTGAATAGTTATGCACGCTCAAGTTCTGTTTTTTTGTCTTATTTCTTGTTTGTTTCACAATAAAAAATATGTTGCATCTTCAAAGTGGTAGGCATGTTGTGTAAATCAAATGATACAAACCCCCAAAAAATCCATTTCAATTCCAGGTTGTAAGGCAAGAAAATTAGGAAAAATGTCCTAGGGGGGTGAATACTTTCGCAAGCCACTGTACATCAGGTCTAACTCTAGTACAGCAAGCTGGATGTTTCTCCTCATATCCCTCTAACCTGATTACACAAATTGATTTACCAAATGAATAAAGCAAATAACTGATCTGTTTTTGGCGTGTGTCACATAGATGCGGTAAAGAGGTCTATCGAACTCGACCAAAACAATGGAATTGCCATGGAAACGCGTGGGGGAAATATCCCTAGTCGCCTCATTGCCCCCCAGCAAAATGGGCCTACATGTAGGCTATTGTTTATGTGTATTTCACACTATGTTGAGGTACAAATCGGAGTATAATGCTTGTATGGATGTCAACACCAACACATTTATGTCATCGTTACCAATCAACTGCATTACAGTTAGAAATGACTACCACCTGGGGCCTCCAGAGTGGGCGTCACTACAGACCCAGGTTCGATCCCGGGCGTGATCGGGAGTCCCATATGGCGGCGCACAATTGGCCCAGCGTCGTCCAGGTTAGGGGAGGGTTTGGCTGGGGGGTCTTTACTTGGCTCATCGTGCTCTAGCGTCTCCTTGTGGCGAGCCGGGCGCCTGCAGGCTGACCTCGGTCGTCAGTTGAACTGTGTTTCCTCTGACACATTGGTGCGGCTGGCTTCTGGGTTAAGCGAGCAGGTGTTAAGAAGCGCGGTTTGGCGGGTCATGTTTCGGAGGACGCATTACTCAACCTTCGCCTCCCGAGCCCGTTGGGGAGTTGCAGCGATGAGAAAAGATCGATATTGGGGAGAAAAAGGGGTAAAATTTAAAAAAGACTACCACCACGAATTTCAGTGTGCTAGCAATGCTAACCAGCTTATACGAACGGGACTTAGCATTTAGCAGTCACTTCTTCTAAACCTGAAAAAGGACCACTTCTACATGTTATGAAGCAAAAACAGCCAAATATATCAAAATCGGACTGCGCCAATCTGGTCAGTGGAACGTCTGTTCCATTGACTCCTTTACCACATCTATAGAATTGCCTCTCACTTGATAGGCTAGTAGAGATAAGATGTCTGTGGCTCATGCTGCTACCATATAAATAGAAAGAATAGAACGGGCGTCGGGAAAAGTAAATGATGGTATAATGGGTAGACTGGCGGCCATTGCAAGTGTACTCATAGAGGCAAAGCAGGAAGTAAAAGCAGGAGTGTACCCATCAATCTGCAATATGATTTGTTGAATAAACTCTGACATTAAAAAAATACATTCCATTGCATGAGCAACATCATTTTAGCATAATTTTCAATGAACATTCTACATTACCATGGAAATTATTGCATCACAATACCAGGCAGCCCATGAGTACCCATGAGTTTACCAGTCAAATTGTCAGGGTTAGAGGTTGCAAGCAAGTTTTATTCATTCTATTACTACAGCTGTTACTGCTACCATCCTCCATACAGACAGGACATTTGCTTCAGTCTAGTGATTTATTAGCACTATTGATTTGATACTGTCTGCTGATGGTGTCTGAGAGCTGCAGCCTGGGATCTGGTTAGATAGAAATGGATTGTCTAAACAGACATGAACTGACAGAATTGAATATTTGTCAAGTAAAATAGGTCATCGTGTTTGCTTTATTGATTGCATTTCTATCTGAACGTTTAACCTCAATGAATACACCCATGGTGTTGAAACTGTGACTGTGAAATGCTGTGTCTCTTTGTGTTCCAGGGACAATGACGCCCACGTCAGAGACTGTGTCAGGTCCTACACTGAGGACTGGGCCATCGTCAACAGAAAGTAAGGCTCCTCTCTCTGTTATTTAAGGAGCTTTTCCTTTTATAAGACCAATTCATTCAACCTTAACACCCCCAATTTAACACTTTATATATATATATATTTTTTAACACATAGCAGCTAGCAACTAGTTATTTACCTTAACACTCACATTATGTTCTGCTTATTTCAACAGATACCATAAGCTTGGTACAGGGTTTAACCCTAACACCCTGGACAGGCAGAAGGAGAGGCAGAAAGGCCTGCCCAAACAGGTGTTTGAGGCCGATGAGATGCCAGACGTTAGCACTTACCAGGACGACCAGGTAACCCATAGCAACTGGGCAGTCAACCAGGTAACCCATAGCAACGGGGCAGTTGACCAGGTAACCCATAGCAACTTGGCGGTCGACCTGGTAACCCATAGCAACAGGGCAGTCGACCAGGTAACCCATAGCAACGTGGCGTTCATCTTACGCTTCATCTTTTGTGGTATGTTTAGTCCCTGACCTGTGTTTTTCTGTCGTCTTCCAGGATGATCTGAAGCGTAGGTCCATGTCCATTGACGACACCCCGCGTGGCAGCTGGGCCTGTAGTATCTTTGACCTGAAGAACTCTGTCCCCGACGCCGTCCTGCCCCACCTGCTTGACCGGGCCCCCAACGAGGAGATAGACCGGCACAACGAGGAGCACCGCAAGTCCCACCGCCACCGCGAGCTCTTCGCCCTGCACCCCGCCCTCGATGAGGTATATACACAGAGAGACCCACACCGTCCTCTAGATAGTGCCTTTAGAAGTGTCCGGCCAGCTGTTGCTTTGGCATAGTGCATGTCTGTCTCATTACATTAATGTGTCATCATCCATGGTTATGCTTTCACCATAGTTACGTCTAATATGGATTTCTAAAGCGATGAAATGTCATGAAGCAGGTGCCACTGATTTCACACTTTGAATGTGAAAATAAATGTTTTCCTGAGATACAGGGCTCCTGCACAGTACATTCCAATAACTGTTATTATGTTCATGGTTTTCCTATAACTATTATTTGTATGTGCGTCCTCAGGAGGAACCAATAGAGCGCCACTGTGTGCCTGACGTCCCTAAAGAACACTTTGGCCAGAGGCTACTCGTCAAGTGCTTGTCCTTGAAGTAAGTGGAGGACACACACAGCCTTTACAAAGCCTTTTAACTGTCTTTTTAACTGCCTTCTGCTGACCCAATCCTTTTTCCCCTTGAAGATTTGAGATCGAAATCGAGCCCATATTCGCCTGTTTGGCCTTATATGATGTAAAGGAAAAGAGAAAGGTAAGCTGTTGTTTTCCTCAATGCCACTTGGCCCTGAGTTGTTGGGTCAGTCTCTGAAAAACCATTAAAAGTCCATGTGAACTAAATGACTGGGCTATAAAAGTGTATGTATTGGACCTGTTCTCCTTGTGTGAATACTCTATAAATCATACCATATATCTATATGAGTGACTCTCCACTCAATCGTTTCTCATTCCCAACAAACACTAGAGGGTAGCAGTAACCGTTGTTAAAAAAAGTCAAAAATTTCTGCCCTCGAATTGCCTACTCTTCCATGTGAGTTCTCAGTCAATTTACAGTAAAGAAACAATAAAAAAAAATTCTTTTTTTAAAGATATGGTATTGGTAATAGATTGAGAAATAAGTTGCACTATCAGAACCATACTTCAGGACCAGCAGACAGTATGGTTGTTAATATTAGTCTGCTGTCTTTTACAGTATTTTAGTATAATGCTCACGTGTCTGTCGCCATCAGATATCGGAGAACTTCTTCTTTGACCTGAATTCAGAGCAGACTAAAGGGATGCTGCGCCCCCACATCCAGGCAGCAGCAATTTCTACTCTGGCACGCTCCGCCATTTTCTCCATCACGTACCCCTCCCAGGACGTCTTCCTCGTCATACAGGTAAGTCAGTGTCAATCATCACAGGGTCTCAACTGTCAATACACTTTACAAATAAATTGAGATAAAATCAAAATGGAGAAAACAGTCACACACATGACTTCCTCTCCCATGGGATCAGCATCACCTCTGTCTGTCTGTGGGATTAGTGACTGATAACCTCTCTCCTGTCTTGGGGACAGTGACTGATAACCTCTCTCCTGTCTTGGGGACAGTGACTGATAACCTCTCTCCTGTCTTGGGGACAGTGACTGATAACCACTCTCCTGTCTTGGGGACAGTGACTGATAACTTCTCCTTTGTTGTTTGTCCCAAGCTGGAGAAGGTGTTGCAGCAGGGAGACATAGGAGAGTGTGCAGAACCGTACATGGTCTTCAAAGAGTCTGATGCAGCCAAAGTAAGATAATTCGCAACCTGATGGTCAAATGAACAATAGACTCACATTAGTGGTAGATGATGTTGATGATGTTGATGTGTAGATCTCCAAACAGATGGAGGTAGATTTCTCTATTGTATTGATTCTCTCTTTCTATATATAGAACAAAGAGAAGTTGGACAAGTTGCGGAGCCAGTCAGAGCAGTTCTGCACGCGTCTGGGTCGGTACCGGATGCCCTTCGCCTGGACAGCCATCCACCTGATGAACATCGTGAACAGCGCCGGCAGTCTGGAGAGAGACACTGAGCTGGAGATGGGACTGCCAGGTGAGAACAATAAAGTTGGACTGAGTGGTATTGAATTGAACTACACAGAGGCAGGCCAATGCTGGGACTACTGTCTACTCAGTTCAACTTTTGATCAACTGTTGACCCCCCCCCAGAGAGGAAAGGTTCGTGGTCTGAGAGGAGGAACTCGAGCATCGGTGGACGGCGCTCATTAGAGAGAACCACCAGTGGAGATGAATCATGTAGCCTGACCAGCTTCAGACCTGCTACCCTCACCGTCACCAATTTCTTCAAACAGGTCAATACTGACACTTCACGTCTACACACACACACCCCACATTTTCTTCCCGACTGAGCCACACTGTCATGACACACCTCCATACACACACCACACTCTGCTACTCGCCTCACAAACTGAACTGACTTTTGTTTTAGTGTGTTAATTTGTGTTTGTTTGACAGGAGGGAGACCGACTGAGTGACGAGGACCTGTATAAATTCCTGGCTGACATGAGGAGGCCGTCTTCAGTGCTGAGGAGACTGAGGCCCATCACAGGTACACTAACACCACCATCAGTATTTCAGCAAAGATATTCTGATTTATATTGTCATATACATTTATTATTATAAGGGAATTATAAATGGAGTTTAAGGGACTTTGTAGTCCCTCCAGACAGACTTAAATCTGAGCTAGCAGCTAGCGAAAGACTTGACTCTGGCATGAGACACTGGTTTTAGTTGAGGTCTGTGTGTTGATGATGTCGTGTCTATGCTGTCTTGTTCCTCCAGCCCAGCTGAAGATCGACATATCCCCGGCCCCAGAGAACCCCCACTACTGCTTGACCCCTGACCTCCAGCAGGTCAAGCCCTACCCAGACAGCAGGGTTCGCCCCACCAGAGAGATACTGGAGTTCCCCCCCAGGGATGTCTACGTACCCAACACTACCTACAGGTAATAAAACAATACCCCTTACATTACATTACCCAACACCACCTACAGGTAATGAAACAATACTGCTTACATTACCCAACACCACCTACAGGTAACGAAACAATACTGCTTACATTACCCAACACCACCTACAGGTAACAAAACAATACTGCTTACATTACCCAACACCACCTACAGGTAACGAAACAATACCACTTACATTACCCAACACCACCTACAGGTAATGAAACAAAACCCCTTACATAACACTACCTACAGGTAATGAAACAATACCACTTACATTACCCAACACCACCTACAGGTAACGAAACAATACCGCTTACATTACCCAACACCACCTACAGGTAATGAAACAATACCACTTACATTACCTAGCATTACACAACACTACCTACAGCTGAGGAAACACAACTCTACCAATAACATAACCCACTGAACACCACTGCAAGAGAACATGATGACATGCATAGATATGTCTATTAAGCTCCATTGCAATACCACCTACAGGGCATTGACGTTTCCTGACAGGTTGATGTCATTCCTAGTCCTTCAGGGTAATGTGACACAAAGAGAGTCCTGTTTTTGAGATGGTGTATTTCCACCTGCCTGTTCTGATCAAACAGCGGAGCCTGGAGGGCAACTCCGATGAACCGAAGGGTCTTTCTCCCTTCCACTCTCGCTGTCCTCTGAGCCATGGGGATAACACTACTGTAAGAACAGCAACACAATATACAGGCCTCCCTGACACTATGTAACATCACCCCATGTCCCGTGTGACTGACTGCCTGACTGACTGACTACTGCACACGACCTTGTGTTGAGTGACCTCCTGAGCCCTGCTGCTATTTTATTCAAGGTCAGAGGGAGAGAGAAGGCTCTTATCGGAGGAGAGCGAGAGAGCGACTTTATGACATGGAAGGATGGAGAGAGAGAAAGAAAGAGAGAGGGGGCCCTTACCAGAGGCTGTTGACATGCTCTTCACCTGACATTGGGCCAGGGTTTCCTTTAGCCGGCTTTTAGCCGATTTAAAAATAAAATGAAAAGCCAATAAATACAGTGGGGGAAAAAAAGTATTTAGTCAGCCACCAATTGTGCAAGTTCTCCCACTTAAAAAGATGAGAGAGGCCTGTAATTTTCATCATAGGTACACGTCAACTATGACAGACAAATTGAAAGAAAAAAATCCAGAAAATCACATTGTAGGATTTTTAATGAATTTATTTGCAAATTATGGTGGAAAAGAAGTATTTGGTCACCTACAAACAAGCAAGATTTCTGGCTCTCACAGACCTGTAACTTCTTCTTTAAGAGGCTCCTCTGTTCTCCACTCGTTACCTGTATTAATGGCACCTGTTTGAACTTGTTATCAGTATAAAAGACACCTGTCCACAACCTCAAACAGTCACACTCCAAACTCCACTATGGCCAAGACCAAAGAGCTGTCAAAGGACACCAGAAACAAAATTGTAGACCTGCACGAGGCTGGAAAGACTGAATCTGCAATAGGTAAGCAGCTTGGTTTGAAGAAATCAACTGTGGGAGCAATTATTAGGAAATGGAAGACATACAAGACCACTGATAATCTCCCTCGATCTGGGGCTCCACCCAAGATCTCACCCCGTGGGGTCAAAATGATCACAAGAACGGTGAGCAAAAATCCCAGAACCACACGGGGGGACCTAGTGAATGACCTGCAGAGAGCTGGGACCAAAGTAACAAAGCCTACCATCAGTAACACACTACGCCGCCAGGGACTCAAATCCTGCAGTGCAAGACGTGGCCCCCTGCTTAAGCCAGTACATGTCCAGGCCCATCTGAAGTTTGCTAGAGTGCATTTGGATGATCCAGAAGAGGATTGGGAGAATGTCATATGGTCAGATGAAACCAAAATATAACTTTTTGGTAAAAACTCAACTCGTCGTGTTTGGAGGACAAAGAATGCTGAGTTGCATCCAAAGAACACCATACCTACTGTGAAGCATGAGGGTGGAAACATCATGCTTTGGGGCAGTTTTTCTGCAAAGGGACCAGGACGACTGATCCGTGTAAAGGAAAGAATGAATGGGGCCATGTATCGTGAGATTTTGAGTGAAAACCTCCTTCCATCAGCAAGGGCATTGAAGATGAAACGTGGCTGGGTCTTTCAGCATGACAATGATCCCAAACACACCGCCCGGGCAACGAAGGAGTGGCTTCGTAAGAAGCATTTGAAGGTCCTGGAGTGGCCTAGCCAGTCTCCAGATCTCAACCCCATAGAAAATCTTTGGAGGGAGTTGAAAGTCTGTGTTGCCCAGCGACAGCCCCAAAACATCACTGCTCTAGAGGAGATCTGCATGGAGGAATGGGCCAAAATACCAGCAACAGTGTGTGAAAACCTTGTGAACACTTACAGAAAACGTTTGACCTGTGTCATTGCCAATAAAGGGTATATAACAAAGTATTGAGAAACTTTTGTTATTGACCAAATACTTATTTTCCATCATCATTTGCAAATAAATTCCTTAAAAATCGTACAATGTGATTTTTTGGAGAAAAAAAATCTCATTTTGTCTGTCATAGTTGACGTGTACCTATGATGAAAATTACAGGCCTCTCTCATCTTTTTAAGTGGGAGAACTTGCACAATTGGTGGCTGACTAAATACTTATTTTCCCCACTGTACAACTGTCGCCAGCCAATATGACCGGCCTTCCTAGCTGAGATCCTGACTGCTTTAGTAGTGACTCTGCTTTAGTAGTGACTCTGCTTTAGTAGTGACTCTGCTTTAGTAGTGACTCTGCTTTAGTAGTGACTCTGCTTTAGTAGTGACTCTGCTTTAGTAGTGACTCTGCTTTAGTAGTGACTCTGCTATAATAGTGACTCTGCTTTAGTAGTGACTCTGCTTTAGTAGTGACTCTGCTTTAGTAGTGACTCTGCTATAGTAGTGACTCTGCTTTAGTAGTGACTCTGCAACTATCTGGTTAATGATGGAGTACAAACGCTGTGAGCTCTGGAGTTTATTTTCAAATGTACATTTACATGCTTGTTGATTGGATAAGCAGTAGATCTGGGTACAGTAGCCAACGCACAGTGTGGTCCCTGTATGTTGGGCCCTCAGTTGCGTAAGACCGTTAATGCAAATGATGACTGTTTCAGGAGTGTTGTCAACAGTCATTGTGGGCCGATCAGACTGCTGTTGAGTTTATAGTTGGGCTGGGAATTGCCATGGACCTCATGATAGGATATTATCACGATACTTAGGTGCCGATGGGATATGTATTGCGATTATCACGATCCTATATGTATAGCGATTCGAAACTGTGGTTTAATTGCGGTTCACCTTATGTAGGCTGCAGAGAGATGAGAGAGCCATGAGAAAACAAGTTTTGATCAGTCATGGAAATTAAAGTGCTGGGGGAAAAATGGGCTCCCTATTTAAAAGTAAGATGGAGAACAAGCCATGAAGGAAAAATACTGGAGTTTTGGTGCAGGTAGAGCCAACTAGCAAAAAATAATATTGTGATGTTGTGAAAACGATAAGATTTCGTAAAAAATAATCTGATATGTAACTGTATCTATTATTATTATTTTTCTTCCCATCTCTAGTTTAAAGGCCAGAGATGGGTGTGAGGTCTGCATGATCAACCACAAGTCATAAGTCAGAGTTCCATTGTACAGTATTAGTTAACCTGCAAAGATATCATTAAGATCAACAGCCCAGTTTGTTTTCTTCCTTTGAACAGAATACAAAGGACAGACTTGGAGTATTTGTGTTTTGAGTATGTTGATTTTATTTGTCTTTATAAATATGGTATTATAAAGTATTAGTAGTAAGAAACATAAAATATGTAACAGCCGTTTAAATGCAGTAGAAAGGTGACTGAGTAGACAGGAGACGAGGAGTCAATATGACCCAATGATATGATCAATGGAAATAACTAAGCTTGCAGCACATTTAATACAGCATTATGAAAATTGTTTTAAATACAGTATAAAGTTCAAAAGACCGTGAAAACACTCATATCCTACTTTGGAAGACCTATGCATCATGTTGATCTTGGTCTAATTACTTATATATTTAGTACATTCAGCAATACAACACAGAGCGATACATGCTTAGATAGTAGGGCTGTTAGGATTATGCCGTTGTCACATGCACTTAATTCATTATACCAAAGCAGAGTGGTGTGTCGGTTATATATTGCTTTGTAATCTTTTTTTTTCATCCGTCAGTTGAAAATAACTTTTCAGTGCTGTTATTGTGATATGGCCCAGACCAGAAAGTGTTGAATCATCTGACATTCCATCCTGACCAAACAAAAACGTGTCGGTTAGGAACCCAGACCACCCCTCCCAGGTGTTACCCAACTTTATTGGCGTTTCTTGAACAAATTTGTGAGGTCACTGACCGGCTGACTGCGGTTGTTGCATCACTCTGATGAATCGTCTTCTATTCTCTGACATAGATACGAATTGGTAGTTTTTTCTGCTGCCAACAACCCAGCTGCACTATCTGTTGTTACCATGACAACAATGTGTAACTGGTAGGGTGGGGTGGTCAATTTTAATGTTCTGGGCGAGGGGGGCATATCTGTCACCATGCCAACGAGTTGTAATGGAAGGAATAGAAGGGTTAGTGGAAACTTGAGGCGAGGGGGACGGGTTCAGGCGGGTCGTATGGAGATCTTGGTGGTCTTGAGGGAGTAGGAGGTGCCCAGAGGTTTCCATTGGATCCCTTTCCTCCTCATGGAACGACCCTTTGACCTCAGCCACATGTACCTGCCGTTCAGGTTGGTGTCACCACAGGCGTTGAACCACCAGCCACCTGCAAGGAATGGGGAAAAGAGTGGGTTAAATTCTATAACAAGTGTAGAACCCATAGTCACCCATCTCTGTGCTGTCTGCTTGGAAATGTATTTAACAGCTGTATGGTACCAGACAGTACAGTGTACCTGTATCAAGTGTGTAGTCAGTACCTGGAGTTGCATCAGGTGTGTGGTATATACCTGTGCCTGGAGTGTAGTAGTCAGTAGACCCACCTGTGTAGTTTTTGGCACAGTTTGAGTCCTGGTGGTTGTAGTTGTCTCGGTCCATGGTGGAGAACATCATGCTGGTGTGGTTGCCCATGGCGTCAGGCAGGTCACCTGACAGGTGGGTGAGGTGGAGGGTGTAGTGGGTCTGGGGGCCCTCCAGGGTGAACTGGTACTCTACTGACCTCCTCTCCTCCTTCCAGTCCTCTAGCTCAATACGCAGGATAGAGTCACCCTGACCAGCCAGGCTGTGGATCTTTATCAGGCCCAGCCAGAACTCTCCTACAATAACACAGATAACACACACAATGTTAGACACTCCGAACTCTCCTCTACAACTCACAGGAAACACACACACACCGTTGTGGAATGTTCACAGGGCTATAACAGACAGTCAACAAGCACTGAGGCTGTTCTTTGGAAACATACAGATAACAGACACCAACATTCTGTCATCAACTGGCAATCGATCTAAAGCTTTAATGGACAATAAAGTTCTGACTTTCTGATGCTGTACTTTGTTTTCATTGGCTTCAGCTGTTTCTGTATGCCACGGCCCATGACTCCACAGGAGGTTGGTGGCACCTTAACTGTGGAGGACGATCTCTTGGTAATGTCTGGAGCCCGATAAGTGGAATGGTATCAAATTAGAGTTCTGTGTGTGTTGTGAATTGTTAGATATTACTGCACTGTTGGAGCTAGAAACACAAGCATTTCGCTACACCCGCAATAACATCTGCTAAACGTGTGTATGTGACCAATAAGATTTGATTTGAAATACATCAAACATGGTTTCCATTTGTTTGATGCCATTCCATTCGCTCCGTTCCAGACATTATTATGAGCCGTCCTCCCCTCAGCAGCCTCCACTGCCTGACTCGTGGTAAATAGTGTGAAAACAAGTTCCGACACTCGAAACTCTTTTCCCCTAGCCTCTGGCTGTAGTCATGGGTGTGATGACATCATTAGCTAGTAGCAGCGACAGAAACTGACATAGAACAATTGATAGGCTAAAGGACCTGTGGCTCTGTTGGAATGCAGTAGTAGTGTAGGTCAATGGGCTGGGGTCCAAGCCTGGCTGGTGGAAGGGAAGTGCTGCAGGTGCTTTGTCTAGTCAGACAATAGAGGAAGTCAATCTGTCAACGGGACCTGATAATCTACAATGACTGTTTTCTGTCAGCCGTTCCTTCAGGAAGTACTTAAGAGCGGTGGAGGGAGTGGTTGTATTGGCTCTTTGTAGACCGGAAACTATAAAGGATTATTAAGGAAACGGGGATAATCAGGTATAGGCGTCTCTTTTTCTCTCTCTTTCTCTTATAACAGGACGTTTAACTCTGAACTGAGTTGAATTGAGTCATAAAGGCATAACTTATATTTTTCTTGTAATGTATTGAGCTGTATTAATGGTCTCTACATCACTGATAGAAAGAAATAGACCAAACTCACTTTCCAGATCCCCAAATCCGTTCTCGTACTTCTCCCATGTCTGGTCAAAATCCACGGACCCCTCCTCCCTGCGCTGGATGACTGTTGAACCTCGTCCTGTAGACGGGAGATGTGGTCAATACATGGAGAGGCAGAGGATCACAACAACAACAAAGTCCAGTTCCTTTCTCTAGACTGATTAGGGAAAGATGATGGCACGTATATCCTTCTGATAGCCTGTATGACCATTCTTCCTATAGAGGAGATTGTTTAGTCCGGTCTTTATTTAGACTGTCCATTGAAGGGATTTCGCCGATGTAGCACAGGGAAATAGCTTGACACATGGAATCTCTGAATTGTTTGGCTGTTCAGTCAGTTACCTTTTTAAAGACAATGTAGGCTAATGACTTTAAATAAAGTGTTGTCTTACCGGAGGTCAGTTCACAGTACACATTGAAAGGCTCCGACTGATTTGGCTTGATGGGGTACACCCCGCTGTTCCTCTCTCCTCTGTTAAAAAGATCACTGCAGTCCACGGGTAGGTCTGTGTCCTCACCAGTGGAGTTGCCTGTCAGGTACTCAAACATGTCTGGGTTCTCTGAGTCGGAACCCATTGCTTTGTCAGTCGTGTCTTGGAAATGATTGATGCTGATCTGGAATAGCAAGCAAACAAATCGTTATGGTGTTGTCTTGTTAAATATTTTTTTGTGTCCTTTCTATACACTGATTGGACAGGGATAAAATCTAACTCTAGTTTTCAGTAAATGGCCATTACCTTTGGTCTACTGTATAGAAGTGGAGAAGCTCTAAGCAGCAGAGATGTGTACCTTTTCCTCCAGAGTCTTGATCTTAGTTTTCTGGTGGTTGAGCTGATGGTGCTGCTCCCTCACGGCTTTCAGCAGGTCAGTGATGGTCGTCTCCTGAGCCTCAATCACGTCCTGAAACAGACCAGTTGACACTGTCTTGTTAATTCTCACATTAAAGGACATTTTCCAATAACTTGAAGTTGAAAGCATTATTACTCATTAAAACGGTATGTTTTCATTAGGCTAATAACTGAAACTTCTCAATGAATTCAGCAATTGAAAGTTGGATGCAACATTTAGTAGGAAGGAACTTTAAACGTGCTGAAATATGTTGAATACATGCGGCATAAACACATCTTATTCTAAAACAAAGACATTTCACATTGAAACAAAATAAATTATACATCTTATTATTGATTAGTATGAGTGACTGACAGCAGCGTACCTTGAGTGACTTGATCTCACTGAGCTGCTCTTTCGGCATCATGCTCTCAGACAGTCCCTTCAGCTTCTCCTCCAACCCCCCTACTTGACTCTGCAGCAGGCTCCTCTCCTGCAGAATACTATTGATCTTGGTGTTGATCTCCAGTGACAAGTTCCGGATCTCCTCGTTGTTGGCCTTCAGGAACGTGGTGGTCTTCTTTAGCTCCTCCTCTTCCTCCTTGATCTCTGAGGTGACCACGGAGAGCTGATAGAAGGAGCGGTCGAAGTTGGTCAGCTTCTGGAAGATTTCGTTAATCTGGGCCTTTGTCTTGTGGACAAACTCCCTGAGGCTCTGACCCAGCTGGAGCAAACCGTTGGCCAGGAGACGGACATCGTCCAGCATAGCGAAACGGGACTTGGCCTCGGCTGGAGGCTGCGTCTGGGGCTGGAGTTGAGAGTGTACGGTGGGATAGACCCTGGAGGAGTCCTGAGGAGCTGCCTGGGCTACAGACAGAACCACCAGGACCAGGAACAAGAGGCAGATGAGCTTCATTGTTAAATATCTCTGTGTGCAAGAAGACAACAAGAAGTGGTCTCTCTCTATTGCTTTCACTCTCTTCTTCCTCTGTTCTGACCTACTCTGTCTGGACTTCTCACTCAGTCTCTCCCTCTACCTCTCTCTCCCTCCCCCTCTCTGTCTCTCTCTGCTGGAAAGATGTCAGAGCAGCAGGCAGGTCTGTGTTATATACCCCCGTCCAGCAAGGGGAGGGGAGATTAGTTGATCATTAAGCCCTGTTATGCTTGAGCTACTGTGCCCCCTGAAATCCCATTGGGAGCCCCCTCAGACCCCACCCTCCAAGAACAAACAAATCATGCAGTGAGTGAACAGCAAATACACCCCTTCAGCACAACAGCACCCCCCTCCCCTTCCTTCCCTCTTTACCTCCCAAATCCCCCTCCACACCCACCCTACTCCCATCTGCACTACTCTGCTTTAGCTGACCAGCAGAAAGCCAACAATGGAAGGCCATCAGTTTTGATGGATCATTCATCCCAATCAATCTCAGATCTCACCTCATAGCAGCCACACCTCACCGTGATTGATAATACAGCATCCAGTTGATGTCTCTGGGTTTGATTTAACATCCTGCTGAATCAGCCCGGCATTACTCTCCCTGGGGCTCTTGCCGGGTCTAGATGAGGTGTACTGAATGTACTGGCGGATTGATGTCATCATTGCTATGGGTTTTGCTGTAGTTTGCATTGGGGGGGGGGGGGGGTGAAATGTGCTAAGTTTGAAAATGTATGAACTCATCATCTTGGTTATTATTGTTTCATCATTCTATTCTGATTTAATGCAGTCTAGTCTTTCCGATCTCTCTCTGAACATCTAGTGACTTCTACTGAAAAGAACAGGAGGAAAGGTACTGACTTCCCTGCACCTTTTTCAAGCACTCTTTGGTATACAGTGTGTCTGCTCGTAAAATCTATTTTAATGGGAACTCTTAGTCAGTGGTTTGTTCTTGGCTGTTTGTTCCAAAACCACTTTACCATAACTGTACATACTGTACATCCACTAATGATGATTACGAAGGTGGGCCTAAATTCATGTAGCCTTCTGTTGCTGTATTGAACTCCATTCTAGTTCTGTAATCTGATAGGCTGCGATCAGCGTTTCTCTTTGTGACCATCCTTTGTTCTTCCTACTTAGCCAAGATTATCTTAATGCTCTCAATAATCTGACTACGTTGAGCTTTTGGTCAAACTGTCTCGACAGCATGTTTCAATGTGGTTCAGTGACTCTAAATGATATTAGTCCTACTCTACTGTATATGCTATTGGGTGGTAGATGGAGAGAGTGGGGGGTCTCTAGCAATTTTGGCCTTTTTAGTTTGATTAAAAGTTTCAAATGAAACACCAGAAGATAATGAGAAAATAGTATTGGACAGCAACTTCCCTTCAACAGAGTTACTAGCTGACACATTGTGGAGAGGTAGCTAGCTTCTCCTTTGTCAGAGCGAAGTTTTAGCATTTGTTTCCTGTAATGCATGACTAAACTCACCATGCCGTTAGACGCAGGTAACTCCAGTTCATAGCACAGCAGATACACTGGGCTATTTGCTCATGTGTAAAGAGTACAGAGACCCTTGGCTGCAATATGTCGTTAGTAAGAGTGAGTTTCTGAGCAAACACATTTCATATCTGATTCTGAGCTGTTTTATTAGCTTAAAGCTGGCTACATGATTCCCTACTCCCTATACAGTGCCTTCAGAAAGTATTCACACCCCTTGACTTTTTCCACATTTTGTTGTTAATTTTTGTCAACTATCTACACAATATATTCTGTCAAAGTGGAAGAAAAATTCAAACATTTGTATTTTAAAAAATACAAAAAAACAGGAACAATTAAGCACTGATATATCTTGATTACATAAGTATTCAACCCCCTGTGTCAATGCATGTTAGAATCACCTTTGGCAGCGATTAAGGCTTTGTCTTTCTGGGTAAGTCTCTAAGAGCTTTCCACAACCTGGATTGTGTAACATCTTCCCATTTATTATTTTCAAAATTCTTCAAGCTCTGTCAAATTGGTTGTTGATCATTGCTAGACAACCATTTTCAGGTCTTGTCATAGATATTCAAGCAGATTTAAGTCAAAACTGTAACTCGGCCACTTAGGAACATTCACTGTCATCTTGTTAAGCAACTCCAGTGTAGATTTGCTCTTGTGATTTAGGTTATTGTCCTGCTGAAAGGTGAATTCATCTCCCAGTGTCTGGTGGACAGCAAACTGAACCATGTTTTTGCCTGTGCTTAGCACCATTAAGTTTATTTTTTTATCCTAAAACTCCCCTGTCCTTAACGATTACAAGCATACCCATAACATGATGCAGCCACCACTATGCTTAAAAATATGGAGAGTGGGACTCTTTTATTGGATTTGCCCTGAACATAACACATTACAACTCTTTGTATTCAGGACAAAAACTAATTGCTTTGCCACATTATTTGCAGGATTACTTTAGTACCTTGTTGCAAAAAGGATGCATGTTTTGGAATATTTGTATTCTGTACAGGCTTGCTTCCTTTTCACTCCGTCATGTAGGTTAGTGTTGTGGGGTAACTAAATCGTTGTAAATCCATCCTCGGTGTTATCCTATCACAGCCATTAAACTATAACTGTTTTAAAGTCACCATTGGCCTCATGATGAAATCCTTGAGCGGTTTCCTTCCTCTCCGGCAACTGAGTTAGGAAGGACGCCTGTGTCTTTTGTAGTGACTGGGTGTATTGATACACCATCCAAATTGTAATTAATAACTTCACCACGCTCAAAGGGATATTCAATGTCTGCTTTTTTATTTTTACCCATCTACCAATAGGTGCCCTTCTTTAGGAGGCATTGGAAACCTCCCTGGTCTTTGTGGTTGAATCTGTTTGAAGTTCACTGCTCGACTGAGGGACCTTACAGATAACTGTGTGTGGGGGGGTACAGAGATGAGGTAGTCATTCAAAAATCATGTTAAGCACTATTATTGCACACAGTGTGTCGATGCAACTTATGTGACTTGTTAACCAAATCTTTACTTACTGCCATACCAAAGGGGTTGAATACTTATTGACTCAAGACATTTCAGCTTTTCATTTTATATTAATTTGTAAACATTTAGAAAAACATACTTCCACTTTGACATTATGGGGTATTTTGTGTAGGCCACTGACAAAAATCTCAATTTAATACATTTTTAATTCAACCTGTAACACAACAAAATGTGGAAAAAGTAAAGGGGTGTGAATACTTTCTGAAGGCACTGTATGTTCTCCTTCCTACATCTGTGGGGAGCACAGACAGGGTCCAGTATTCACATTGGGACATGTAGCATGCCTACAGTATTCCCCTGTAGCTCAGTTGGTAGAGCATGGCGCTTGCAACGCCAGGGTTGTGGGTTCGTTTCCCACGGGGGGCCAGTATGAAAATGTATGCACTCACTAACTGTAAGTCGCTCTGGATAAGAGCATCTGCTAAATTACTAAAATGTAAATGAGACAAGTGCTGTCAATGTAAATGGTCCTGGCCTGCCCTGGTGGCCTCTTACTTTGACCTCTGGCCGACCTTTAGAATGAGCCCAGGGGGCTTTAACTTATTTACCCTAACATGTTCATGCCATGGGTCGGCAAACGGCAGGATGGGCCAGTTTGGGTGCAGGCTCTTGTTCCAGCCAAGCAGTAATACACCAAATTCATCCAATTCTAGGATCCAGTTAAATTATTGATTGAGGACTATGATTCATTAATTAGTTGATTTGATCCCTCATGCCATGATTCATAACTACTACTGCAGCTAGTAGCTGCTAATAATAACCTATTATGTGTAACTGCTGTGTGTTGTCAGGGGGCCCCAGCTCTTTCATCACTCTCTCCCTGCGTGGCATGCTGTGTGCCCTCCCTACAGGCTGTGTTTCGCCTGGCCTGCCTGGTGTCCAGGACTTGGCCTTAATCCCTCAGTCTATACACAGTAAACAATGTACTGCTCCCTTTGTGTATCCATAGGGGGATGAGGGTGGTGGGGTTGTGTACCCACTGGTAAGGGGAGGTGGTAGGGGTTAAAGGGGGGCTGTGTGGGGGTGGGACGCCCAGGGGTTTTGAAACAGTGCTTAGGCATGGTTTGGTAACATACACAGCTACTCTGAGTCAAGTCATTGATTAACCTGAGATTAATCTGTGGAGGCTGAAGGACCAATAGGAGAGAATTGACCCTGTTGCTGAAAAGGAAGCTGTGCCCGGTCAATAGGTGTTTGTAAGAATGGCTTCTGCCTGGGGGTTAATGCAATTACATCGTTCTAAAATCAGAATGGATGCCTCAATAAAGAACGATCAAGTTGGAACAAATGACTCCTTTTTGCCTTTATGCCATGGAGACGCGTGACCAGCTAGTAAGAAAGGGAACAAAGGGAGGGTCGAAGGGAGAGGAACTGAGAGAGAGTGGATTAGGGATTCCCACGGTTTGACTGTTGTCATCACAGCTGTGGTCCTTGGTGACCCTCTCATGCGGAGGGATCTACGTAACTGTGGTCAGGCCACTGCGCTGCGGCTCTCTCTGACTTTCTGTGGATGTCACCCTGGAAACCCTTCACTGTGTGTGTCCAGCTCGTTGACTGAAGCCCAGCTGACTTAGGACATAAAGGCTACCTCAATATTGTCCTAGAGACACTTTTCTTTGATGGAAATATCTATGCAAATTTCATCTTTCATCGGTTGTTTACAGTTGTCAAAGTCAATGATGAACAGTGACCGTATTGAACATGATACAGTTGGCCATGTCATTGCCCCCAGCAGTGGGTACAGTAAGGCAAAACATGCTCCCCTGCACCCTGAAGCGGGTCATCCCAGCAGAGAATTTAGGTCAACTACAGTTTGTGTGGATCCAGAGTGATTGACAGAACTAGCCTTCCTTCTCCGCCAATCAGTGCCCTTGCTCACTCCAAACACTGACCTATTGATGACTGTGCAGATCAGATACTACTGTACGAGTGTTTTGTACCATGGTCAGCTATGATATGTACAGTACATTATATGATGGATGTATGTAATGTCCTAAGGAGAATGGTGAGGTGACAAGGTTGTGAAATTCACTCAAAGACCTGTCAAAGTTGCTGCTATGTGGGTTGAGCTCATGTGTTCCTGTTTGGTTTCATAATGGGAATGTGTGTGTCCCCCAGGAACCTGTTGTATGTGAATCCACACAGCCTGAACTTCGCCAACCGTCAAGGCTCCGCCCGAAACATCACAGTGAAAGTACAGTTTATGAACGGGGAGGACCCCAACAACGCTATGCCGGTAAGCAATGATGTATTGTACACATGTAGGTACGTACGCACACGCTCACTCACTCACTCACAAAGTGCTGACACAGCTTTCAGAGAATACTTAGAGTTATTAGGGTATTTTAGTACTTACCAGGTACTGCTGCACAATCCTAGACTGAATTCTTGGAAATGGATTGTAAAGCATAATGAATGGTGTTCAAGTATTTGAGTTCTGTTACTAAAGTATTGTACAAATCGTTTTAAGACCTGTAGACAAACAGAAGTCTGTCTACTATCCACTGCATACAAACCCTGTTCGCTGTACTTCCTCTGTTTCTTTCTCCCCCAGGTGATTTTTGGGAAGTCCAGCTGTGGAGACTACACCAGAGAGGCATACACTGCCGTGGTATATCATACCAGGTGAGGCTCTCAGACCCATCTTTCATTTTGTATGAAGTCTGCTTAGGGCCTTTCTTACAAGCGGATGAACTGGTATAGAGTGAGCTGATGTCTTAGCTGGTCTAACACACGCTGTTCATGCCTCCTTTTATGATGTTCTGAGGCGTTCTTAAGCATCAGTCTAAAAAAAGTGATCACATATTTGGAAAGGTTCCACCTTTGCACTTTGGATGTTTAGGCTACAATCCCCCCGTCCAGCCAAGCCAATAATGGAACGTTCCCATTGGGGAAAAGGTTGCTGCTGCTCCAGTCCTGCTCCTTCGCTCCAGAGGATGTTCCTACCCTTTATCCACAAACAAACAAACTATTTTGTCTTCTCCATGAGAAAAAGGCTTGCTGCTTCTTTCTTTGGACTTATTAGGATGTTGTTTATTGCTATAACCCTCTGCCCTAACCAACCATGTAATTTAGAGCCTGTTCTCATTCCTATACAGCCCTAACTAACCATGTAATTTAGAGCCTGTTCTCATTCCTATACAGCCCTAACCAACCATGTAATTTAGAGCCTGTTCTCATTCCTATACAGCCCTAACCAACCATGTCATTTAGAGCCTGTTCTCATTCCTATACAGCCCTAACCAACCATGTAATTTAGAGCCTGTTCTCATTCCTATACAGCCCTAACCAACCATGTAATTTAGAGCCTGTTCTCATTCCTATACAGCCCTAACCAACCATGTAATTTAGAGCCTGTTCTCATTCCTATACAGCCCTAACTAACCATGTAATTTAGAGCCTGTTCTCATTCCTATACAGCCCTAACCAACCATGTAATTTAGAGCCTGTTCTCATTCCTATACAGCCCTAACCAACCATGTAATTTAGAGCCTGTTCTCATTCCTATACAGCCCTAACCAACCATGTAATTTAGAGCCTGTTCTCATTCCTATACAGCCCTAACCAACCATGTAATTTAGAGCCTGTTCTCATTCATATACAGCCCTAACCAACCATGTAATTTAGAGCCTGTTCTCATTCCTATACAGCCCTAACCAACCATGTAATTTAGAGCCTGTTCTCATTCCTATACAGCCCTAACCAACCATGTAATTTAGAGCCTGTTCTCATTCCTATACAGCCCTAACCAACCATGTAATTTAGAGCCTGTTCTCATTCCTATACAGCCCTAACCAACCATGTAATTTAGAGCCTGTTCTCATTCCTATACAGCCCTAACCAACCATGTAATTTAGAGCCTGTTCTCATTCCTATACAGCCCTAACCAACCATGTCATTTAGAGCCTGTTCTCATTCCTATACAGCCCTAACCAACCATGTCATTTAGAGCCTGTTCTCATTCCTATACAGCCCTAACCAACCATGTCATTTAGAGCCTGTTCTCATTCCTATACAGCCCTAACCAACCATGTCATTTAGAGCCTGTTCTCATTCCTATACAGCCCTAACCAACCATGTAATTTAGAGCCTGTTCTCATTCCTATACAGCCCTAACTAACCATGTAATTTAGAGCCTGTTCTCATTCCTATACAGCCCTAACCAACCATGTAATTTAGAGCCTGTTCTCATTCCTATACAGCCCTAACCAACCATGTAATTTAGAGCCTGTTCTCATTCCTATACAGCCTTAAGCGACCATGACTCTGTCTGTAATGGTTGTGGTCTTTCTTAGGTCTTCTCAATCCTTCTTTAGATGTTTATTCCTGTACAGCCCTAACCCCTAAACCCCACTAACCATGTATATAATTTTATTCCTATACCCAACCATTAAATTCGGTCTCTGTTGTGTTTCCCATGCAGGTCCCCAGACTTCCATGATGAGGTGAAAATCAAGCTGCCTGCCTCTCTGACTGACCACCACCACGTTCTGTTCACCTTCTACCATGTCAGCTGCCAGCAGAAACAGAACACCCCCCTGGAGACCCCTGTGGGATACACGGTAACTACTGCAGACACACGTGCAAATGCATGTACACGCGTGTGCACGCACATATGCACAATGATATGCGTGCATGTCACAGACAGACACACACACACACATACACAGGTGTGTGCATGCGAACGCACGTACAAACGTAACGCGCACACACACACACACACCTCATACAAGCACACGTGTATGAAAATGAACATGCCTTTATTGTTTTTCCGGCCCTAATCATGTTTTTCTCTCCTTCCTCAGTGGATCCCCATGCTTCAGAATGGGCGTCTGCGTACAGGAAGCTTCTGTCTCCCTGTGTCTCTAGAGAAACCTCCCCAGTCCTACTCTGTCCTCTCCCCTGACGTTCCTCTACCAGGGATGAAATGGGTGGATAACCACAGAGGGGTGTTCAACGTTGAAGTGACGTCCGTTTCCACCGTCCACACACAGGTATAGCCCATCACAACCGTACATTTCTCTATTTATGTAGCAAAATGTTTTGCTACAGTGCCCTACTACTGAATATGACCCAACTCCTTTAAGCAAGAAAACCCCTATGCCCTCCAGTCTCTCTTCACTACCAGGCATACGGGTGCCAGTACATGTTTCACAGTGTACCGAAACAGCTGTACTTTTTCGATACTAGAACATGAAAAACCGGTGCGGTCCTAGAATTTGTTACTTTCGGTACTTCTGTTTAATTCCTCACGTCGTTTACTGATTGAGAGAGGATCAAGTCGGTCTACCAGCGCAGCCGATGTCCCTGCTCCGTGCCTGCTCCACTTAGCCATTTCTAGCACTAGCCTGTTCTGAGGAACCACTGCACTCACTGGGAGTCTGGGCTGCATCACCACTCATGCTGCACAGAAGTTAACACACTTGAATAATGCAACACGGCATGTAGAAATGTTCAAACTGTTAATTACAGTTCGCAAAACAATGAAAGAAGATACCGGTAGCTTCCAGCTTTGTAGGCTAACTTTCCTGGATAGCTTACAGCTGAAACTAACATCAGTTCACTACCCTAGTACCTTGTTTGTGATAATATGCAAACCATAACGCAAAATATTGCTGATTTCGAAGTTGATTGTCACCAAATAGTTTTCATTCACTTCATCTTCCCTACCTCACGTCTCTCCCAGTCAAGACCTTCTCTGCTCAAGCCTCGAACTGACTGTGTGTGAATGATGTCATGGGGCTTAGAGACCGCGCACACACTTATAAAATAAGAGAGTGCTTCATCAATGCAAATGTTGTTGATCAGTACAATAAAATTAGTAGCCCCATGAAATCAGCCAAAACAATCTCAATAACTCAATGCATTCACACACTCCTATTGAATATGCACTCACCTGTACTGTGAATAGGCTTAGGCTACATCTTGATTTAATCAGTTTATTAATAGACTAGTGATCTATCTTTCAAAAGAAGTATTACCATTATGTTGTTAATGTTAAAAAACGAAGTCAAATTGATTGTATAATTTTATTCATTAATGCATAGATTCAAAAATCTAAAATTTCAAATGCATAGATTCTGAGACTTTGGCTAATACGCCATATTTCTTTGCAGTGGTGTCGTTTTGGTATCGAGTATCGTGATACTAAACCTGGTATCAGTATCAAAGTAAAAATTCTGGTATGGTGACAACTAGGGCTGTTGCGGTGACCGTATTAACGCCACACCGGCGGTCATGACTGCAGTAAAATTCTACGTGACCGTTGAGTCACGGTAATCTCCTCTTATGCACTCTGGACATGTGTTGGTAGAACCCAACTCGCTAACTACCATCAGGTCGCTAATGGCCTGGGTTCTGTTGTCCCTCTAACCACTCTGACGCCATTGCAAATGCAATTGAAAATCCATCAGACTTATCAGTATCCTGCTTTTAATACTCACCTCACTGTGATTGATCAATTAGAAGAAAGAAGTTCAACAACAGGTTGAAACTGAGTGGAAAACATGGTTGTTGTGGATGTTGTTTCAAAGCCTAACACAACGAAGTGGACAGCTCTTTCTAAGCTGAGGATTAATTCAAAACACCCATATGCATATTAGAGTTTCTGCGTCGGCATATGCCAAAAGTATGTGGACACCTGCTCATCGAACATGAGCTTGTGTGGCCTACCACTTCGCAACTGAGCCGTTGTTGCTCCTAGACATTTCCGCTTCACAAGAACAGCACTTACAGTTGACCAGGGCAGCTCTAGCAGGGCAGAAATTTGACGAACTGACTTGTTGGAAAGGTGGCATCCTATGACGGTGCTACGTTGAAAGTCACTGAGCTCTTCAGTAAGGCCATTCTACTGCCAATGTTTGTCTATGGAGATTGCATGGCGGTGTGCTTGAATTTATACATGTGGCAGCAACGAGTGTGGCTGAAAAAGCCAAATCCACTAATTTGAACAAATTCAGAATAGCCTAGCAATAGGTCATTTTTAATAATGGCAGACACATTGCCTTTAGCTCCAGAATGTCTCACCACCGTGAATTTCTTTCTCCCCCCCTCTCTCCTTCATTCCTTTCTCCAGCGTGCAGAGAGAGGGGCTGTCAACAGTTTAATTAAATATGTTTCTTTGTGAAAACATGTTACTATTGATGTTCCCGAACAGATTTCACTTGGTTTCCCAAATCAAGCACTGGGTAGCTGCAGGAACAGGTTTGGAGAGCCCATGGCAGAATATCACCTGTCACTGCAGCGAAATTACCAGAGTAGCCTACCAACATGAGTGAAAAACGTACCGGGGTGAAAGTGGCCTCCATTTGCTATTCCAGTGCATATGGATGACATGTACAGTGGGGAAAAAAAGTATTTAGTCAGCCACCAACTGTGAAAGTTCTCCCACTTAAAAAGATGAGGCCTGTAATTTTCATCATAGGGACACGTCAACTATGACAGACAAATTGAGAATTTTTTTCCAGAAAATCACATTGTAGGATTTTTAATGAATTTATTTGCAAATTATGGTGGAAAATAAGTATTTGGTCACCTACAAACAAGCAAGATTTCTGGCTCTCACAGACCTGTAACTTCTTCTTTAAGAGGCTCCTCTGTCCCCCACTTGTTACCTGTATTAATGGCACCTGTTTGAACTTGTTATCAGTATAAAAGACACCTGTCCACAACCTCAAACAGTCACACTCCAAACTCCACTATGGCCAAGACCAAAGAGCTGTCAAAGGACACCAGAAACAAAATTGTAGACCTGCACCAGGCTGGGAAGACTGAATCTGCAATAGGTAAGCAGCTTGGTTTGAAGAAATCAACTATGGGAGCAATTATTAGGAAATGGAAGACATATAAGACCACTGATAATCTCCCTCGATCTGGGGCTCCATGCAAGATCTCACCCCGTGGGGTCAAAATGATCACAAGAACGGTGAGCAAAAATCCCAGAACCACACGGGGGGACCTAGTGAATGACCTGCAGAAAGCTGGGACCAAAGTAACAAAGCCTACCATCAGTAACACACTACGCCGCCAGGGACTCAAATCCTGCAGTGCCAGACGTGTCCCCCTGCTTAAGCCAGTACATGTCCAGGCCCGTCTGAAGTTTGCTAGATCTTTGGAGGGAGTTGAAAGTCCGTGTTGCCCAGCGACAGCCCCAAAACATCACTGCTCTAGAGGAGATCTGCATGGAGGAATGGGCCAAAATACCAGCAACAGTGTGTGAAAACCTTTTGAAGACTTACAGAAAACGTTTGACCTGTGTCATTGCCAACAAAGGGTATATAACAAAGTATTGAGAAACTTTTGTTATTGACCAAATACTTATTTTCCACCATAATTTGCAAATAAATTCATAAAAAATCCTACAATGTGATTTTCTGGAAAGAAAATCTCATTTTGTCTGTCATAGTTGACGTGTACCTATGATGAAAATTACAGGCCTCTCTCATCTTTTTAAGTGGGAGAACTTGCACAATTGGTGGCTGACTAAATACTTTTTTTCCCCACAGAATTTTTTGTCTTGCCCCTGTTCTTGGCCATTTTGAAAATGGGCCATTCTAAATTGAAACTAATTTAACATATTAGTAAAGACGAGATTAAATTGAGAATAGTCTGATTGGTGAAAATATGATCACTTGATGTGCAGCCCGAGGCAAGGAACAGAGCGCAAGCATTTTATTTTTTCAATAGCCTATTTATCTTTTGATTTCTAAGGTTTGTATCATTCACAACTAAAGTTGCCAAATAACTCTAAATCTAGTGTATATGACCTGTTTCAAATGAATGTTTTATTTTAATTTTTGGGGTGGGGGGGGGGGGGGTGTTTACCAGGGAAGACCTATTGAGACCTAGGTCTCTTTTTCAATAGAAATGAATGGTAAATCATGTATTGTGTCATTTTGGAGTCACTTTTATTGTAAATAAGTATAAAATATGTTTCTTAACACTTCTACATTAATGTTGATGCTACCATGATTACGGATAATCCTGAATGAATCGTTAATAATGTGTGAGAAAGTTAGACGCACAAATATCATACCCCCATGGAATGATCACCTCTCACCATTACAATAAAAGGGGAGGTTAGTCTTTTTTGGGGGGTATGAAATTTGTGCATATGTAACTTTCTCACTAATCATTGTTCACGATTCATTCAGGATTATCCGTAATCATGCTATTCTTAATTACAATAAAAGTGACTCCAAAATGACACAGTACATTATTTACCATTCATTTCTTCTGGGCATAAAGTAATCTGAAACACAACCAAAACAAGCAGCAAATGCATCCAACAAATATGCAGAGTCACAAGCTAGATGTAGTCATTGCATGCTATGAAAATACCCTCAAATTAAAGCTGACAGTCTGCACTTTAACCTCGTAGTCATTGTTTCATTTCAAATCCAAGTCTAAATAATTACTGATTGCACTGTATCTGTGTTAGATATCAGACCATCAGGGACAGACAGACCGAATACCTCAGCATGGGAAGAGTAATGTGTCCCTCCCTCAGTTCATTAGTGGTTGAACTTCACTGGTGTTATTTAGTAGAGCCCACTCCATCTCTGTTCTGTTGGCTGTCGAGGAGAGGGAGGGGAGATTGGGGGGAGGGGGAGAGGAGTGGAGAGGGAGGGGGAGAGGAGTGGGTTGAAGAGGGTGAGTGTTTTCCCAGGAGCTTAGCCTGGTGCTAATGTGATCATAAATCACTGGGTCTATGTGGATGAGACTGAGCTGAGCTCAACTCTACTATAGTCTCTACACATGGGCTCGAACCACAGAGCACACAATTACAGCACTTTCATTGTGTAGTGGGGGCTTGCATTTCTTTCCTTTTTATCAAAACTTGATTTTCTTTGTGTCCTTTCTTTCCTCTCCTTTTCCTCTCTCTCTCTCCCTCCCTCTTTCATCGCTCCATCTCTCCTCCCTCCATCTCTCCTCCCTCCCTCCCTCTCGCTCTCTCTCCTCGCTCTCTCTCCTCGATCTCTCCTCTCTCTCTCTCCTCCCTCCCTCTCTCCTCCCTCCCTCTCTCCTCCCTCCCTCTCTCTCTCTCCCCCCCTCCATCAGGACCAGTACCTGGATAAGTTCTTTGCATTGGTGCATGCCCTGGATGAGCACATGTTCCCTGTGCGGATCGGAGACGTGCGCATCATGGAGAACAACCTGGAGGCGGAGCTAAAGTCCAGCATCGCAGCACTAAACTCCTCCCAGCTGGAGCCCATCGTCCGATTCCTCCACCTCCTATTGGACAAGCTGGTGGTGCTGGTGGTGCGGCCGCCCGTCATCGCAGGACAGATAGGTATACTATCCCCCTTAACCTACGCCTAGCTGTACAACTTAGGCCTCATGTCAACTATAATACAACCCTCCAATAATTCCAACAAATAACATTAAAAGGAAAAAAAGGTTACCCTAAAAATGTAAAAACCCCAAATGTCCAAACTGTGTTTGTAAGCAAGCCTATCGCACTGTATTCTAAACTGTACCAAACAGCAAGGGATTGCTGCCACTGACTGTACTGTCTCTTACTACAATGTACTGTACTGTCTAGTCCTAAGTATGTGTGTTCCTATGTGTCTGTAGTGAACCTGGGCCAGGCCTCGTTCGAGGTGATGGCCTCCGTAGTGAACCGGCTCCATAAGTACCTAGACACCAGTCAGGACATGCACGGCAGAAACAGCCTGCTCTCCTCTTATATATACTACGTCTTCAGACTGCCCAACATGGACCCCAACTCCCCCTCACCAGGTACACTGTCTGTTCTGGTTTACTGTCTGTTTTACTTCTGTTAAATTCATTACATCCAGGTGATAAAGACCATTGGCTACATCAGGTGACTTTACGAAAATAGGAGCAGCAAGTTTTCTCACCCTCCGTCCCTGACTTCTGTAGTTTTGTTCCATGTGTGTTTTTGTCTCAGGTCCTGGAGGGCTGGGTGGTTCCGTCCACTATGCCACCATGGCCAGATCAGCCCAGCGACCAGCTAGCCTAAACCTCAACCGCTCCCGTAGCCTTAGCAACAGTAACCCGGACATCTCCGGAACACCCACCTCCCCTGATGATGAGGTCCGCTCCATCATTGGCAGTAAGGTTAGAGACCTGGCCTACATTATGTTGTGTTTCTCAGTACTTTTAGGGTACAGTCAGTCCTTTATGCATCTGTGGTTTAGACCTCTACTTTCAATGAGAAACTATCTGAATTATACTATATGGAAAATATTTTAGCATGGATTTGTATGTTTGCTAACTTCAAAGATGATTGGATTGGAAAGCCCCACTATTTCTGGCTCCACATAAGCGGTCACTGTACCCTATGAACCGGAGAGCAGTGTTTCTCAACTGTATGACATGCGAACCCTATAGCTGATTGACAAACATCAGCAGGAACACCTTATCTCTGTAACCCCTGTATCACCAACCTGACACACAGCAGAGGAAGGCCAACCTCAGTCAAGCAGTCTTCATCGCTCTGTTAGCAGAGCAATATCCAGGGGTAGCAGGGCTCCAGACCGTTTAGTCGCATTTTGCGACCCTTTGATTTGGCTATGGAGTAACATTTTAATTGGTCGCACTGGTGCGAGTTGCACATTCTACCTGGTCACTTCAATTCAATTTTTTGGGGCTGATAAAACCATGATTTGATCAAACAGGAAAGTGCATTATCCTCATGATTCCTGTAATGAAACTGTCTGCCCTGCCGCTGTGGCTGTTTCACTGGGGCCTGCTGCTATAGGTCTAATGAGTCCCTCACACTCTCTCTCCCCCTCGTGCACCCCTAAACATGCATTCTGATTATATAACATTTCCAAATGCAATTGCGGGGGGGAAAAACACAACTTTAGAAGCAACTGCTGTTGTCCATGTTCAAGAGAGGAGGGTCTCGGCTTTCTGTAGGTATCATTTTGATTTCTCAGCTCTCAATATTGAGCTCAAAGCACACTGTTTTACAATCAAGATATCTGAAATGGCTTCGGAGTACGCAAAATGCGCATCGGCCATCGCATCATCGCGAGTGCACTATTATACCTAGGCTTACTACCGATGCAACGTTTTTTTGGGGGGGGGGACTTTAAATGTACTGTTCGATTAATACATGGCTGCTAACGGTATGTGTTATATTTAGAGTTAGTGATTTAGCTAATGTGTTTTGAGTTTCCACTTTCTCAGGTGGTGAATTAGCACCAATGGAAGTATGCCTGTATGTAATATTAGTGCACATAAAGATGAAGGCAAATTCATGGAGCCCTATTTTGACAGTAAAATATAACAAAAATAGCCAAATTCTCAACCCAAAAATCATGACAATCACTGGATTAGGTTGCATATCAAAATATCTTGAATCATGCATTCCTTCTTGGACATGTTAGATGTAACAACTTATTTAATATTATCTCAGTAGTCTATAACTAAATAAAGCACTTTGAAAGACAAAATATTTTTGGGTGCGACCAAATCATGGGCTGGTGCCACCACCTGAAAAAGTTAGTGGCACCAGTGAGACCAGGGGAGAACGTTAGTCTGGAGCCCCGGGTAGCCAAGTGAGACCAGGGGAAAACGTTAGTCTGGAGCCCCGGGTAGCCAAGTGAGACCAGGGGAGAACGTTAGTCTGGAGCCCCGGGTAGCCAAGTGAGACCAGGGGAAAACGTTAGTCTGGAGCCCCGGGTAGCCAAGTGAGACCAGGGGAAAACGTTAGTCTGGAGCCCCGGGTAGCCAAGTGAGACCAGGGGAAAACGTTAGTCTGGAGCCCCGGGTAGCCAAGTGAGACCAGGGGAAAACGTTAGTCTGGAGCCCCGGGTAGCCAAGTGAGACCAGGGGAAAACGTTAGTCTGGAGCCCCGGGTAGCCAAGTGAGACCAGGGGAAAACGTTAGTCTGGAGCCCCGGGTAGCCAAGTGAGACCAGGGGAAAACGTTAGTCTGGAGCCCCGGGTAGCCAAGTGAGACCAGGGGAAAACGTTAGTCTGGAGCCCCGGGTAGCCAAGTGAGACCAGGGGAAAACGTTAGTCTGGAGCCCCGGGTAGCCAAGTGAGACCAGGGGAAAACGTTAGTCTGGAGCCCCGGGTAGCCAAGTGAGACCAGGGGAAAACGTTAGTCTGGAGCCCCGGGTAGCCAAGTGAGACCAGGGGAAAACGTTAGTCTGGAGCCCCGGGTAGCCAAGTGTATTGCAGTTCAACTTTGTAAATGAGTTAATAACGTGGACTTGTTTCTCTAATACAGACATATAATCATACAATGATTCGGTACCATGATCAAATGACTTGTTGATTTGACCCCAAAAGTACTTGACAGATGAGTGAGTGACGGACACTCCTTCTGTCTTTCTGAATGGTCTGGTCTAACGTGATGCTTGGGATGGATGCTGCCCCCATAGAAATGGAATTACCACCGATCATGGCACATAAACTTGAATGGGGATGCACGCTCTAGTCATTACTTTAAATCTATTTCTATGGTTTCCCTGTCTGATGCTGCTACTAAACTGAACCGGTCTTCTCTTTTCTCTGAACTGAGGGAGGGGTATAGATTGTCATGATGGCATACGCTATCTAATCTGTTCATGCATTGCTGTTTTCATGAATCGGTGTTGTAATGAAATGATTTGGGATCTTTAACAAGCTAACTGTATTATTCCTCATTGCTGCTTACGGTTAGATCCTCTTAACCTTTAAACCTCTATGCTGTTCTCTCCTCCCCTGTGCTGCTCCGTCCTCTCGCTCGTTGTTCCCTTGCTCCTGCCTGCCATGTGCCCTTTGACCTGCGACCCCTGACCTCTCAGGGTCTAGACCGCTCCAACTCCTGGGTACACACCATGGGGTGTAAGAGTACCCCCTGGGGATCCAGCCCTGTCTCTGCCTCTGACACTGACACCATGCAGGTGCTTCAACAACAACAACTCTCTTCTCTACCCCCCTAAGAAATAACACTCACTGTCACTCCCACTCCCTGCCCTTCTTAACTCCAACCTTCACCACCCCTCACTCCCTACCATTCTTAACTCCAACCTTCACCACCCCTCACTCCCTGCCCTTCTTAACTCCAACCTTCACCACCCCTCACTCCCTGCCCTTCTTAACTCCAACCTTCACCACCCCTCACTCCCTGCCCTTCTTAACTCCAACCGCCACCACCCCTCACTCCCTGCCCTTCTTAACTCCAACCTTCACCACCCCTCACTCCCTACCCTTCTTAACCCCAACCGCCACCACCCCCAACTCCCTACCCTTCTTAACCCCAACCGCCACCACCACTCGCCTACACGTTCCACCAGACTTAGGAAGTCACATGAACCCTGCCTCCATGAACCCTAAACCACAATCTTTAGTTCTCTCACTTGTCACCTTTCTAGTTTTTACACCTCTCTGTCCAGTTGGCTGGAGAAGAAACATCAATGCCCACTCTGAAGTTGTAGAGTTGTTAGTAACCACTTGAAGTCATGTCAAACAAGTGCAGAGCCCCCCCCCCCCCCCCTCATTTCTCAGTCAAACAAGTGCAGAATGGCCCACCCCACTCATTTCACACCACTTTTTAATACACCCAGTGCAGGAGAGGTGTTGCAGCGAACCTCTAGCCAAGACCCACCTCTAGCCAAGACCCACCTCTAGCCAAGACCCACCTCTAGCCAAGACCCACCTCTAGCCAAGACCCACCTCTAGCCAAGACCCACCTCTAGCCAAGACCCACCTCTAGCCAAGACCCACCTCTAGCCAAGACCCACCTCTAGCCAAGACCCACCTCTAGCCAAGACCCACCTCTAGCCAAGACCCACCTCTAGCCAAGACCCACCTCTAGCCAAGACCCACCTGTACACGTGGCTCAATTTAAAATGGTTTATTTTCTCATACTTTATTTTATTTTATTGGCGGTTCAGAGGCTAGCACCACTAACTTCATTTCCCAGTTTTAATTTGCTGACTTCATCCTCTCATTCCCTGTCCTGTTTCCTCTTCTTCACCATGATCATTTAAACCAATGCATGACCTCCTGCTGCTAATAATCTCATTCACCACGTGGGTTGGCCATGATGTGGGATACTGCTGCATGTGGTGGTGTGGTGGGTGGGTCTGCGTGTGTGTGGTTGAGTGTGTATGTGGTTTTGTGTGTGTGTGTGTATAGGGCTAGGTGATGTATCAAATTAATTTGATTAATTCAAATGTATGTATTTGCGTGATATTCCAAATGCCTGTTTCGCAATAATCATTTTTATATATATAAACTTTATATATATATATATATATATATATATATATATATATATATATATATATATGTGTGTGTATATATACAGTGTATATATTATTATTTAATTTGTTTGCGTTTGTCCGCTTGTTCTCATGTTGTCTTTTTGGTCTTGTTTCCTTTGCTCCTTCTGTGCTGTGTGCACTGACCGCAGGCTCAGACAAGCAGTTTCAACTCGCTATTTGCATTTGAGGTTTGGTCCAACAGAATCGTTCACATGGACACCGAAACACATTAAGACATTATTTTACTGTAATAGAGGAGAAGTTAACCTTTCTAACGATACCCTTTTTATGTCTCAACTCCTCAAATTGCGCGCAGAGCAGACACTACTAAAACAGGAGTATCAGTTACCATTGATTCTGGAAAATTAATGGTCAGTTTGTCGTACCGCTAGCAGCATTTTAGCCAAAGACTGTTATACTAGCTGTCAAGTCTGTGTTTTATAAATGTACAATAAGCATAAAACACAATTATATAAAGAATTGACAACTCTTTCTCATTCTGAGATATGCCACTTGATTTCAACATCTGAACAAAGTGGACAGGCTAACATGCTGTTCAAACAGTTGGAGACAGACAGAAGGGTGTGTTCATAACAATTCAACTGTTTTATCTTGTTAGCTAGCAAATAGATCCAAGTTGGCTAAACTTTAAATATAACTATTAGCTGGCTGGTCACTAGCACGTGGGCTTGTGCTTGAGAGATTGTTGATGAGACCTGTGTTAATTTTCTATAATGCCTGCTACAAGAAGTTAGTTATTATTAGTGAATGTGCATTATGCATGGTTCTGGTTACAGTTGTAACACAAAAGGGCATGTTCATAGACCGACCTGAAAGCAGATCAGTGATTATTGCAAAAAAGCAGGTTAAACTATTTTGATGAAATGATTAAATTATTAGTGGGTCTTATGGTTGTGCAAGGCTTATATTTAGCCTAGGTAGGCGCCCTGAATTCATTAGATTACTGCTGCCTGTTTTAAATGCAGTGTATTTGACCTTTTTAATTGTGCAACAAAGCTTATTTAGAGAAAACAATTACGAAATCTAGATATATATTGTGAATCGCCCATAAATTAGAAAAAATCTAGATGATTTTTAGGCCATATCGTCCGGTCCTAAGTGTGTGTGTGGGTGTGTGTATATGTGAGTGTGTGTGTGTGTGTGTGTGTGTGTGTGTGGGTGTATGTGGTTGTCTAATTTCTTTGTCTGCTTGGGCACTTTCTGTCTTCATCTTTTTTTCCTGTCTTGGTGTTGTCATCATTGGTTGTCATAAAGGGTATTTTGTGGCTCTAGTCATGGCCAAACATTCAGTAAAATTAATTTAACTGAGGTAAGTTTCTTTTTTTCAGGTTGATACTGTCTACAAACTGCATATCTAGGGACATAGGGGCAGTTTCTGTGTAAAATATATCAACTTAGGTGTGTAAGAAGAAAGTTAAAAATGAGGGAACTCTAGCATTCTGTACTTCTCCATTGGTAACTCTAAGTGGAACTGTAATTAAGGTTATATGATGAGGGCTGTTTTGTGTATTTGTGATTTTTGTGTGTGTGTGTGAGAGAGCAGACACATCTCCTTGCTACATCCCTAGCCTCTTGCCCCTCAATAACCTGTTGTTGTTGTCGCCATCCCATCCATCCCACCCATAGGCCATGGAGCGCTGTGGCAACCGCATGTCTTCGCACACTGAGAGCGCCAGTTTCTTGCAAACTTTAACAGGACGGTTACCCACCAAAAAGGTACCAGCCGCTGTCTACACCGGGGGAGGAGCCATACGGAGCCCCCTCACCTTATTCGCCTGTTTTATGCGTATGTCTGTGAATGTGTGCCTCTTGAACGGATGGTGTATTTGGTGATTGTTGGGAGTGTGTAAATGTCCCGCCTCTTGGCTGTGAGTTGAAGTGTGATGTTGACAGTATTGCACAGGAAGTGTGTGACGTACCAGGCACTAACTGTAGCACTCTTACCCTTGTTCAGGTAAACGGCACTCACTTGATGTTTCTATTTTAATGAAGCCTCCATTTTCAGTGTTACCACCAGACACAGACACACCAAGTGGAGTGTTGAGTTTTTTTAGAGTAAATATGACATATGCAAGATAAGATTAGGGGTTCCCTAACCGTCTTACACTCAAAAGCTGGCTGCAAGAGTTAATTTACACACTCTCAATATTGACTATATAATTGTAGTCATTATATAGTACTGATATTATAGATATCATCATAAAGGGGCAAAGGTTTAGGAACCCCTGTATTGAGATTGATTGTATACTTTGGCACATTCTATAGTGTATATATAATGCTAGATGGTGATGCAGATAGAATGTCTCGGTGCTCTGTTGTAAGATAGACCACCTGCCTGGGTAAAGGTGTTCTTGATTTAGCTTGGCACTTGGTCCATTGTACCGACCAACTAAATCCGGGCCAGGTTGAACCAGGTCTGATGTTCTGTACTACACGTGTCTGACTGTCTGGTCCGTGTGTCTCTGTGTCTCAGTTGTTCCATGAGGAGCTGGCCCTACAGTGGGTGGTGAGCAGTGGCAGCGTCCGGGAGGGAGCTCTCCAACAGGCCTGGTTCTTCTTCGAGCTCATGGTAAGACAAGACAACACTACACATAGCTGCTGCATCACTGGTGCCTGTTTCACACTGCAGAGCCGTACTGCTGTGGCCTGGTTACATATCCACAATAGTTGCTGGAGCGGTGTTGGAAATGACAATGTGAAAAGTAAATATCCAGGTAAAGACAGTATGGTTCAGGTTGGCAGGATAGTGTGACAAGGGTACACAGTCGTGCTTTTCATCCTGGCCCCATGACTGCGATTCCCACTACATGGCCAAGCTGCAAAGTAAAACATTGGCTTTATCGGAAACATTTATGAAAACAAAAATTAGCTTCTTAATTTAAAGTTAGGGTTAGGCATAGGGGTGTAACGATTCGTTTTAACAACGATTCGATTTGTATCACGATTCGTGGTTGTCGATACGATTCAAGGACGATATTGGTTCATTTAGAACGATACGATCCGAAACGATTCAGTGACTTGAAATCGATTCAGTAACCTTTTAGCCAAAAATTCAACCAGTGTGACTGAAATAAATACCTGGATACTGGACAGTGCAGGTGAAGTTTCCTAGATTCCTGTTTCTTGTAAGGACCGCAATGGTGGCTTGATAATTTCTCGCTCGTCGGCTTCTCCTCTGTCGTCCGCCATGCTATGTTTTGTTGTCTTTGCGCCTTTGCGCTGCTGCTGGCGGATAGGCAGACTGAATCGAGTAATGTTTAAAGCCTTTATCATTAAAAGTGCTAAGAAAAAACATCCATATAAAGTCTGACGTGCTTAAATCCAATGGGTTATTTCCTAGTATCGATACAATCGATTTATTACATTTTAAAACGATGTTAGATTGATATATGTTGTCCAAAAGGCCAACTCGCCGAGCACAGATCGATGTAGTTGGATCATAGGAATATAAATCGATACATCGATGTAGTAGATGGATCGTTACACCCCTAGTTAGGCATAAGGTTAGCAGTGTGGTTAGGGTTAGAATTCAAATAAGATTTTAAGAAGAGATTGTAGAACTAGGTGGGGCTTCCGACTTTGCAACTTGGCCAGATAGTGAGGACCAATGACTACTACTACGTGTTGGGCCCTGTCTCACCTTGATGACCTCACACCCCCAGGTGAAGAGCATCATCCATCACCTGTACTTCACCGACCGGCTGGAGTCGCCCAGGAAGAACCGTTTCCCCGAGCGCTTCATGGATGACATCACAGCCCTGGTCAGCACCATCGCTGGGGACATTGTCTCACGCTTTCAGAAGGTAGGAGTGAAAATTGTTAAACGTTATTGTCATCGAGACACACAGGGACAATACAGGTGGGGCCTACATAAACACAGCAGTTTCTAATGCCACTAACCACACAGATACTGCCAATACAGTGAATGGTCTGAAGGGACCTTTTCTGGTTCTAAGTAAACCAGAGTGGGCAGTGCTCTGTAGACTCAAACCTGACATCTGACTAGGGCTGTTACGGTGACTGTATTACCGCCACACGGGCGGTCACGAGTCAATGAAGCAGTCAAATTCCACGTGACCGTTTAGTCATGGTAATTAGGCTTCTCCAAGCTCTGATGCTGCTGGTCATTAGTAGCCTAGCAAACTTGCTAACTGCCTCAGCACTCTATTGTCCCTCTAATCACTGACATCAATGCAAATGTATCGAAAATCTAATCAAACACTTCATGAGAGCCCCATGAGCTCATGTTGCACAACATTTCCATAGGATTTGCAATTGCGCGAGAAAACAGAGTGATGGCCTCTACTAAAAAGAGGAGGATCCCATCAGCTTTCTATAGGCTAGGCCTACTATATTTATTTCTCAACTTTCCTAATATTATGCACATTGCTTATATTTACAACAGGAGTATAGCCTACCTGGCTGGCATGAAAATGAACCACAAGAAAAGTGTCCTCCATTCGCAACTTAAGTGCATAGATTACATGTATTTTTTTCCCGCTGCCCCTGTTTTTCGATATAGGTGCATGATAATGGTCCATTCTAAATCAAAATAAATTTCACACACAGTGACAGTCAAAAGTTTGAACACACCTTCAAGGGGTTTTCTTTATTTTTACTATTTTCTACATTGTAGTATAATAGTGAAGACATCAAAACTATGAAATAACACATATGGAATCATGTAGTAACCAAAAAAGTGTTAAACAAATCAAAATATATTTTATATTTGAGATTCTTCAAATAGCCACCCTTTGCCTTGATGACAGCTTTGCACACTCATGGCATTCTCTCAACCAGCTTCACCTGGAATGCTTTTCCAACAGTCTTGAAGGAGTTACCACATATGCTGAGCACTTGTTGGCTGCTTTTCCTTCACTGCCGTCCGACTCATCCCAAACCATCTCAATTGGGTTGAGGTCGGGGGATTGTGAAGGCCAGGTCATCTGATGCAGCACTCCCATCATCACTCTCCTTCTTGGTAAAATAGCCCTTACACAGCCTGGAGGTGTGTTGGGTCATTGTCCTGTTGAAAAACAAATGATAGTCCCACTAAGTGCAGACCAGATGGGATGGTGTATCGCTGCTGAATGCTGTGGTATAAATAAAACACAGACCGTGTCACCAGCAAAGCACCCCCACACCATAACACCTCCTCCTCCATGCTTTACGGTGGGAACTACACATGCTGATATCATCCGTTCACCCACACCGCGTCTCACAAAGACAGCGGTTGGAACCAAAAATCTCAAATTTGGACTCCAGACCAAAGGACAAATTTCCACCGGTCTAATGTCCATTGCTCATGTTTCTTGTCCCAAGCAAGTCTCTTCTTATTGGTGTCCTTTAGAAGTGGTTTATTTGCAGCAATTCGACCATAAAGGCCTGATTCACACAGTCCCCTCTGAACAGTTGATGTTGAGATGTGTCTGTGACTTGAACTCTGAAGCATTTATTTGGGCTGCAATTTCTGAGGCTGGTAACTCTAATGAACTTATCCTCTGCTGCAGAGGTAACTGGGTCTTCCATTCCTGTGGCGGTCCTCATGAGAGCCAGTTTCATAATAGCGCTTGATGGTTTTTGCGACTGCACTTGAAGAAACGTGATGACAGAAGAAAAGTTCTTGAAATGTTCCATATTGACTGACCTTCATGTCTTAAAGTAATTATTGGCTGTCGTTTCTCTTTGCTTATTTGAGCTGTTCTTGCCATAATATGGACTTGGTCTTTTACCAAATAGGGCTATCTTCTGTATACCCCCCCTACCTTGTCACAACACAACTGATTGGCTCAAACGCATTAAGAAGGAAAGAAATTCCACAAATTAACTTTTAAGAAGGCACACCTGTTAATTGAAATGCATTCCAGGTGACTACCTCATGAAGCTGGTTGAGAGAATGCCAAGAGTGTGCAAAGCTGTCATCAAGGCAAAGGGTGGCTATTTGAAAAATCTCATATGTTATCATTTGTTGAACTCATTTTTTGGTTACTACATGATTCCATATGTGTTATTTAATGTCTTCACTATTACTCTACAATGTAAAAATAAAGAAAACCCCTTGAATTAGTAGGTGTGTCCAAACTTTTGACTGGTAGTGTATTATTTAGTATATTTAAAGATTAAATCAAGAATAGTCTGATGGGTGACTATTAGCTTATCACTTGTGAATTATTTATCACTTGTGAATAATGCCCAGCATAAGAAACAAATACTTTTTCTAATCATAGTCGCACACCTCATGTAGCCTAGCCCATAGGCATATATGTTTCAATAAGGTTTGTATCACAACTAAAGTGGCCAAATAACTTCCTAAAATTAAGCACATGAATCCGCTTTACAACGGGTGTAGAGCCTAACTGGCAGACATAAGCAGCTCGTTGGTTTCAAGTTTGGGGAAGATAATTTCCACAATAAAAATGTGCCTTTATAATAAAAGCATTACATGCATAATTGCATTTGCGGTCACTTTTGATAATGGTGTTTTCTGCTAATGGAACATTCGCGCTTATAGCCTACTACCATGTGATTCGAAGCGCGCAGCACTCAGGGAAAAGGGCACAATGGCCACTGGCCGCAAAAGGCATGGATCTTTTTTAGGGTGCATTACGGCCACACAAAGGTGATGCCACCGTGAAATTCTAGGCATTATCAAGTGCTTGTCAAATTGTGAATGAGTGACTGATGTAGTGTGCACAGCCTGCGCAAAAAACAAAGCAGAGATCATGCCTTTTCAAGCGACTTTTTTCAAATCATCATTAGTCGCATCATGCAGCCTTACAATGTATTAAAAATCAAAACATATAGCCCAGCGTTTGTAGAACAAGTAAAGTTACATGAATAACTCTAAATTAAGCATATAGGAGTACCTGTTTCTTTGTTAACCGCTCAACACAGAATAGTTGCATGTGCGCACTCCCTCAAATCTTTTGGCGAAAATATCCTTTCTATTTTATTCAGCTATGTTCAATTGTATTCTTCATACTGTAAAATAATGCCACGGAATTCTAAGCAAATCTTGTCTGCTAAATGAACTAGTGTGTCCCACAGCCATTTGGCATAGCCAGATCAGGACCTAACGTAAGGACAACTCATTTAGAGTATGCTATTCTGTTCTTCTGAAATTGACTACAATGTGATGGTGTAGGCTATATTACAAAATGTAGATGTTCCAAAGGTCTGCATCAGTGGCTTGTAGGCTATGTGTGGAAGCCAGGAGATGCTAAATGTGTTTATGTTAATTAACGGTAAATTACCGTGAGACCGACAGTTATTTGCTTGACAATCACCGGCTGACAAGATTTTGTGACCGCCACAGCCCTACCTCTGACCCTGTGTTTGTGACCGCCACAGCCCTACCTCTGACCCTGTGTTTGTGACCGCCACAGCCCTACCTCTGACCCTGTGTTTGTGACCGCCACAGCCCTACCTCTGACCCTGTGTTTGTGACCGCCACAGCCCTACCTCTGACCCTGTGTTTGTGACCGCCACAGCCCTACCTCTGACCCTGTGTTTGTGACCGCCACAGCCCTACCTCTGACCCTGTGTTTGTGACCGCCACAGCCCTACCTCTGACCCCGTGTTTGTGACCGCCACAGCCCTACCTCTGACCCCGTGTTTGTGACCGCCACAGCCCTACCTCTGACCCTGTGTTTGTGACCGCCACAGCCCTACCTCTGACCCTGTGTTTGTGACCGCCACAGCCCTACCTCTGACCCTGTGTTTGTGACCGCCACAGCCCTACCTCTGACCCTGTGTTTGTGACCGCCACAGCCCTACCTCTGACCCCGTGTTTCTGTCCAATCAGGACCTGGAGCTGGTGGAGCGCCTAAACACCAGCCTGGCCTTCTTCCTGAATGACCTGCTGTCTGTCATGGACCGAGGCTTCGTCTTCTCCCTCATAAAGACCTACTGGAAACAGGTACTGGGAGTGGGAGCCAACAGCACCTCAATGACAACATCCCTGCAGAATCTGCTTTCATTTGAAAGACTTTTGATGAAACCACTATGATAGATGACAGAATTTGTGTACATGATTTCAGCCTTGACACTACAGTACTCTATCCTGCTCTTTGCCCATTGGGTATCACTTACCTGACTTGGAGTAAAGGGCCTCAACAGTGCCTTTCCATCTAACCATGTTTTGGGCAGTTTTCTAGACATCATTCCATGTGTCTCCCCAGGTGTCCGCTAAGCTGTACATGCTACAGAACCCCACTCTGGAGTCTCTGAGACTGGACTTACTGAGGATCGTCTGCAGCCACGAGCACTACGTTACCCTTAACCTGCCCTGCAGCCTGCTCACGCCCCCCGCCTCGCCGTCTCCCAGCGTGTCCTCCGCGACCTCGCAGGTCAGATATGCACAGTACATACACACTGGACAGACACAGACTCACCGGCTACACAAACACAGAGGATCACACACACACTGGACACACACATCCACATCCTGGATGAGTAAGAGATGTGTGGAAAATGTATCTGAATCATCCCCCACTCGTCTTTCTTTCCCGACCTCTTTCCATCTCCACAGAGCTCAGGCTTCTCCACCCATGCGCAGGACCAGAAGATAGCCAATATGTTTGAGCTGTCTGTCCCCTTCAGAGAGCAGCACTACCTGGCTGGACTGGTGCTGGCTGAACTGGCTGTCATCCTGGACCCAGAGGCCGAAGGGTCAGTACCCATACACACACCATTTTTATTTATTTTTTTATGTATGCACGCATGACTGTAAGTCGCTTTGGATAAAAGCGTCTGCTAAATGGCATATTATTATTATTTACACTGTGTTCATGTCTTTGTGACAGAGAGAGATTGCCATTTGGCCCCCATGTCCGTTTCTGTCTCTCTCGACCTTCTCAGCGCTAAGGGGTCTGTATAATGTGTTACTGTGTTTGTGTGAGACTGGTTAGGTCATTGGACCCCTCTGTCTTTCTTGACCCTTTCAAGGCTGATGGTCAGTACATGAAGGGTGTTTTCACAAATAGTCCTCTTTAAAAGAAAGGATCTCAGTCCTCTTTAAAGTGAACTCTGGGGTAAAGAAAGAAGCGTAACAGCTCAGTTCTTTGTGTTCACACTGCCCTTACCTTGGAATGAGGACGCAACTGTTTTGCCAGTTAATTTCACCTATTTTGTGGTCTGAGTCCTCTTTGCATTCACATTGCTATGTTCAGAAAGGAACCAAGATCTTTTTCCAACATTCACTCAATGCATTGTGGATTTTAATAAAGTGCAGGACAAGCCATTTCATCAGAATGTGTTATCGGACAGCTAGATATACCATATGCCAACCTACATTTTGGAAGCTAATAGATTACAATTATTGTGTATCATCTTTGAACTAAATGCGATCAGAAGATACTATTAACATGTAAATATTATTGGAAACAGAATAAATAGCAGAAGAATAACTGCAAATTAAATAATGCTGTAACTGAAAATTGTACACCCAATGTAGGCTACTGCCCCTTTAAGAGCTAGAATTGTTTTTGTACCCTGTGTTGTGATTCTCACCAAACATGTTTTCGTCTTCTCTCACTGTTCAAACCCCAATATTCAAACCCCTATAGATCACATATTGCAATCAAATAATCTGAACTAAAAACTCCACACATATTTTGGAATTTCTGTGCATCCTTGACAATCGCTAATCAATATCCAAAAACTGCACAAACCGGAACCGGGCCGCGGAATTCAAGCGAACCGAACTCAGACCACCTCTCGAGATGGTCTGTTCGCTTTGGGGGCTCTTTTGAGGGGTCTGAGTTCCTTTGGCGTGTTCACACTAGGGCTGTTATGGTAACCGTATTACAGCCACACCGGCAGTCAAATTCCACGTGACCTTTTAGTCATGGTAATTAGGCTTCTCCAAGCTCTGATGCTGCTGATGGTCATTAGTAGCCTACCAGACTTGCTAACTGCCTGGTACTCAGCACTCGATTGTCCCTCTAATCACTGACATCAATCTAATCATCACTTCATGAGAGCCCATGAGCTCATGTTGCGCAACATTTCTATAGGCTATGCAATTGCGAGAGAAAACAGAGTGATGGCCTCTACTAAAAAGAGGAGGATCCCATCAGCTTTCTATAGGCTAGGCCTACTATATTTATTTCTCAACTTTACTAATATTAAGCACATTGCTTCTCTTTAAAACAGGAGTATAGCCTTCCTGGCTGGCATGAAAATGAACCACGCGATAAGTGTCATCCATTCGCTATTTAAGTGCATAGATTACATGTATTTTTCCCCCCTGCCCATGTTTTGAGACCGGTACATGATAATGGTCCATTCTAAATCAAAACAAATTTCACACATATACAGTTGAAGTCGGAAGTTTACATACACCTTAGCCAAATACATTTAAACTCAGTTTTTCACAATTCCTGACATTTAATCCTGGTAAAAATTCCCTGTCGTAGGTCAGTTAGGATCACCACTTTATTTTAAGAATGTGAAATGTCAGAATAATAGTAGAGCGAATGATTTATTTAAGCTTTTATTTCTTTCATCACATTCCCAGTTGGTCAGAAGTTTACATACACTCAATTAGTATTTGGTAGCGTTGCCTTTAAATTGTTTAACTTGGGTCAAACATTTCGGGTAGCCTTCCACAAGCTTCCCACAATAAGTTGGGTGAATTTTGGCCCATTCCTCCTGATAGAGCTGGTGTAACTGAGTCAGGTTTGTAGGCCTCCTTGCTCGCACACACTTTCAGTTCCGCCCACTCATTTTCTATAGGATTGAGGTCAGGGCTTTGCAATGGCCACTCCAATACCTTGACTTTGTTGTCCTTAAGCCATTTTGCCACAACTGGAAGTATGCTTGGGGTCATTGTCCTTTTGGAAGACCCATTTGCGACCAAGCTTTAACTTCCTGACTGATGTCTTGAGATGTTACTTCAATATATCCACATAATTTTCCTTCCTCATGATGCCATCTATTTTGTGAAGTGCATCAGTCCCTCCTGCAGCAAAGCACCCCCACAGCATGATGCTGCCACCCCCGTGCTTCACGGTTGGGATGGTGTTCTTCGGCTTGCAAGCAACCCCCTTTTTCCTCCAAACATAACGATGTTCATTATGGCCAAACAGTTCTATTTTTGTTTCATCAGACCAGAGGACATTTCTCCAAAAAGTAAGATCTTTGTCCCAATGTGCAGTTGCAAATCTGGCTTTTTATGGCGGTTTTGGAGCAGTGGCTTCTTCCTTGCTGAGCGGCCTTTCAGGTTATGTCGATATAGGACTAATTTTACTGTGGATATAGATACTTTTGTACCTGTTTCCTCCAGCATCTTTACAAGGTCATTTGCTGTTGTTCTGGGATTGATTTGCACTTTTCGCACCAAATTACGTTCATCTCTAGGAGACATAACGCGTCTCCTTCCTGAGCGGTATGACGGCTGCGTGGTCCCATGGTGTTTATACTTGCGTACTATTGTTTGTACAGATGAACGTGGTACCTTCAGGCGTTTGGAAATTTCTCCCAAGGATGAACCAGACTTGTGGAAGTCTCCAATTTATTTTCTGAGGTCTTGGCTGATTTCTTTTGATTTTCCCATGATGTCAAGCAAAGCGGCACTGAGTTTGAAGGTAGACCTTGAAATACATCCACAGGTACACCTCCAATTGACTCAAATGATGTCAATTAGCCTATCAGAAGCTTCTAAAGCCATGACATCATTTTCTGGAATTTTCCAATATGTTTAAAGGCACAGTATGTAAACTTCTGACCCACTGGAATTGTGATACAGTAAACAATTGTTGGAAAAATGTACTGTCATGCACAAAGTAGATGTCCTAACCGACTAGCCAAAACTATAGTTTGTTAACAAGAAATTTGTGGAGTGGTTGAAAAACAAGTTTGAATGACTCCAACCTAAGTGTATGTAAGTGTAAGGCCCTGTGTAACTCAGTTGGTAGAGCATGGCGCTTGCAACGCAAGGGTTGTGGGTTTGTTTCCCACGTGGGGCAAGTATGAAAAATGTATGCACTCACTAACTGTAAGTCGCTCTGGATAAGAGCGTCTGCTAAATGACTAAAATGTAAACTTCGACTTCAACTGTATATTATTTAGTAAATGTAAAAACAAGATTAAATCAAGAATAGTCTGATGGGTGACAATATTAGTTTATCACTTGTGAATGATGCCAAGCTTGTGTGCAGTAAGGCAAGAAACAGCGCATGCCTCTTTTTTTTTTTTTTGCGACTTTTTCAAATCATAGTCACACACATTTTTTACATTTTAGTCATTTAGCAGACGCTCTTATCCAGAGCGACTTACAGTTAGTGAGTGCATACATTTTTCATACTCATGTAGCCTAGCCCATAGGCCTATATGTTTTGATAAGGTTTGTATCACAAATAACTTCTTAAAATGAAGCACATTAATCCGCTTTACAGCGGGTGTAGAGCCTAACTGGCATACATACACAGCGCTGAGTTTCAATTTTGGGGAAGATAATTTTCAACATAAAAATGAACCTTTATAATAAAAGCATTACATGCATAATCATCAATTCAATTTGTGGTCACTTTTGAGAATGGAACATTTGCACTTATAGCTTACTGCCGTGTGTGCATTGCTGCGCTTATAATGTGAAGAAATTCCCTAATTGTTGATCAACATTTTAAGCTAAACGTTCTGATCTGTTGTGTCAGCCTCATTGTACTTCTATGAGCATTGCACATATTTTTTGATGCTAGTGGTTGTATTGATTTGGGATTTGAAACCCCACCTCTTTAAGGAATACCTGGGATAGGATAAAGTAATCCTTCTACCCCCCCCCCCCCCCCCCCCCCCCCCAAAAAAAAATTGTAAAGTGGTTATCCCACTGGCTATAGGGTGAACGCACCAATTGGTGAGTCGCTCTGGATAAGAGCGTCTGCTAAATGACGTAAATGTGCCCTTGAGCAAGGCACCTAACCCTAATTGCTCCTGTAAGTCGCTCTGGATAAGAGCGTCTGCTAAATGACTAAAATGTAAAAATGTAAATGGATTTATCGCATCCCACAACTGTCCCAGACTACTATATTTATTTCTCGCACAGAATAGAATAGGTTGACTTTTGTACTATGGGGATAGTAGATTGACATAGGCTAGTGCTTTTGCTGTTTGTTAGGCCTACTCATCTTGTTGGCTGACAAAGTAAATGTGGACAGTTCTTCCAATATCTTCAATATGCGCCTTGGAATTGGATAAGGACTTGCGCAGCTGATCTGATGTGTCTGTCTTTACTTGTAGCCTGTGAGAAAGACCCGGTCACATGACAGAGAGCCATGTGAGTGAGAGTTGCTTCGGAGCATGCAGCCGGGAGAAGGGAATTATAATTCTTATATTCACCCCAAGGGCCCAATGGCCGCTGGCCGCAAAAGGCATGGATTTTATTAGTGGGCATTACGGCCACACAAAGGGAATGCCGCCGGAAAGTTCAAGGCATTATCAAGTGCTTGTCAAATTGTGAATGAGAGACTGATTAGTAAAAAAAAAAAAAATATGTATGCATTCACTAACTGTAAGTCGCTCTGGATAAATAAGCGTCTGCTAAATGAAAAAAAAGTTTTTAAAAAGGATTAAGTGTTGGTAGAGCATGGCATTTACAACGCCAGGGTTGTGTCACTTAACTGTAAGTCGCTCTGGATAAGAGCGTCTGCTAAAATGACTAAAGAAAATAAATGAAAAACCCTCTAGATTAAGCATATAGGAGTACTTGTGTCTTTGTTAACCGTTCAACACAGAATAGGTGCTCACTCCCTTAATGTCAGGAGAAAATATCCTTTCTATTTTATTCAGCTATGTTCAATTGTATTCTTCATACTATGAAATAATATAAAATAATGCCACGGAATGCTAAGGAAATCTTGTCTGCTAAATGAACTAGTGTAGCCCACAGCCATTTGGCATAGCCAGATCAGGACCTAACATAAGGACAACTCAGAGTATACTATTCTGTTCTTCTCAAATTGACTACATTGTGATGGTGTAGGCTATATTACGTGGATTTATTCGATTTTTTTTATTTTCTATGTAGAAGTTCCAAAGGTCTGCATCAGTGGCTTGTTGGCTATGCGTGGAAGCCAGGAGATGCTAAATGTGTTTATGTTAATTAACGGTAAATTACCGTGAGACCGGCAGTTATTTGCTTGACAATCACCGGCTGACGAAATTTCATGACCACCACAACCCTAGTTCACACTGCACAAAAAAATAAGCGAAGCGCACAAAAATTGGCTGAAAGGGACTGTTATTGAGACAGGTTCTTTTAACCCCTCTCTCTCCTTCCCTCTCTCTATACTGTAGGATGTTTGGCTTACATAAAAAGGTGGTCAGTGTGGTACATAACCTGCTGTCCAGCCATGACTCTGACCCCCGCTACGCTGACCCCGAGGTCAAGGCCCGCGTTGCCATGCTCTACCTGCCACTCATCGGCATCATCATGGAAACGCTTCCCCAGCTTCACGACTTCACAGGTAAGTGTACATTCTAAATGTAGTCCTCCAGGGTTAGGCAGTAGCTATGTGGATTTAGTCCAGACTTTAATGGTCTGTGTGGTTAATATTTAAAGGAAGATGAAATGGCTTTAGAAATCAATGGAAATCACACTGGTTCAGGTGCTGCTCAGGAAAAGCACATTGGAAAAAATTTAACAATGTCTGCGACTCTAAAGTTTTAGTCCCAACAGTGATTTGTTTTGTGCTGGTTGATCCTGATTGGTTCCCCCCCCCACCCCCCTCTAGAGTCCCATAACCAGTGGGGTCGTCCCGGCGGGGCTCAGGGGGCTCCGGGTGGGGCCGGGGGGGACGAGTCTGGAGAGGATGGCAACAGCATGATCAGTCAGACCGTTGCCATGGCAATAGCGGGGACATCCGCTCCGATATCTCGTCCCAGCAGCTTCCTGCTCAACCCACAGGTAACTTCCACTTCCTGCTCAACCCACAGGTAACTTCCACTTCCTGTTCAACCCACAGGTAACTTCCACTTCCTGTTCTCTTTCTCCATCATCCCTCTCTTTGTCCCTCTCTCTTCTTCCTGAGTCTCTCTCCTTCTCCCTCTTTATTTTCTCTGTTTTGCTCACCTCTTTTCCCTTTCTCTCTCTCGCTCTCTCCCTCCCAGGCCAGTCGTCAGCATGGCACCTTCTCAGCAGAGTCCAGTCGCAGCCTGTTGATCTGTCTGTTGTGGGTTCTGAAGAATGCAGATGAGTGTGTCCTACAGAAGTGGTTCTCTGACCTGTCTGTCTCCCAGCTCAACCGTCTGCTGGACATGCTCTACCTCTGTGTCTCCTGCTTCGAGTACAAGGTAACGTTGCACCTGGAGCACAAAAAAAGGATGCATGTTGTACTTTGTTTAGATCATTTGCATTAGTAGTGTAATGCCTCAATTCAGTAGAAGCACGTCAAGTGTATTGCCTCACCGACAGTCCTTTATTTCATTCCTGGATAAGACTGGATGGAAAGAAACGACTTTCAAATGGTTCTTTTGAATTTGTACTTCTATGAGTATGTTCTATGAGTTGGTCTTCAAATCTGAGAGTTTTCCTTACTTTTTACAGGTTTCCTACTCTTTACTCTGTACTACTCCACATGCAGTGTTCCACCTACTCTTATATCATTTCTAATCCATTTTACCTCTCTTGGTGTGGTGCAGTAACCCTGTAACTTTTCTCCATCCTCATCATGGAAAAAGGCCCATGTTGTGTTCACCATGCAGGGGAAGAAGGCCTTTGAGCGCATGAACAGCCTGACCTTCAAGAAGTCCAAGGACATGAAGGTCAAGCTGGAGGAGGCCATACTGGGGAGCATCGGGGCGCGCCAGGAGATGGTCCGTCGCAGCAGGGGACAGCTAGGTACACTAGGTAACACGGAGTGCACACACACGTTGGGAAAAGGGATCTAAAAATGACCATTCAATCTTTCTCTCCTTTAACTTATCTTGCCCTTTCCCTCCCTCCCTCCCTCTCCTGTAGAGAGGAGTCCATCAGGCAGTGCCTTTGGCAGCCAGGAGAACCTGCGCTGGAGGAAAGACATGACACACTGGCGCCAGAACAGCGAGAGGATGGACAAGTATGCTTACCTTTTTACTGTGTGTGTGTGAGAGTTTGAGAAAAGTGTGAGTGTTTAGGCTGCTATCGGCCAGCATCATGTAATCAAAGGCAAGACGTCACAATACACTATGATAATCGTTTCTGCACAAGATAATGCATACCTCGCCATCTCACAGTCCACTCAGGCCCTATAGTGGGCTTCTTAAAAGAAACTAGAATCTAATTGAAATGAACAAGCCCACACTGAGAGAGCATATGTTTTGGAGTCCTGATCCTACAACAGAACAATGCATGCTGATGGATCCTATCCTATTGTATTTGGGTGATGATTGTCAGACACCTGTGCCTTTTTCCTCGGTCTCTGTGTGATTCTATCTGTGCTGTTAACTCATTCCTCCATATGTTCTCTGCTGTGTCTCTGTGTAGGAGCCACAGATCACTCAGGTATTGTATTGAATGGTGTCAACCTGGAGTCAGTGTGCTGCAGTGCTTTGAGTTCCTCCTGCTGCTTCAGTGACCCGAATCCTGACCCATTACCTCCAAACCCTGACCCCTGACCTCTCCTGTAACGGTGCTTGGGGTGTTTGTCTGTCTGGTGCCTGCAGTTGGCCTGCTGTGCTTTTAACCAGTGTGCTTCTCCTTTGGGTCCTGACTGATGTGTGTCTGTCTTCCCTATTCTGGGGTTAGATGGTTGAAATCAATGTGATTCTGACGCAGCTGGTAGGGTTAGTGAAGTTGTTCTCTTCTCAATGATTTGATGATTAGTATCTGTGACAATTCACACAGTAGAAAAAGGTAGACGATTGTACAGCATGTGTACTTTCCCTTATTAGAATGAAGTCTCTTCTGAAACAGTTCGACCGCTGTTTGTAACACTGACGTCATTAGTCAACTAAGATGCAGATACTACAACACTACCTAGAAGTGGTCAAAGTCCAATTCTATTGGTGTGGACCCTCCAGCCTTACCCCTCTCCATCCCCCGGTGCCCCCCGGCCCTAACCCCCTTCTACCCTTACCCCTCTGCTGCCTATCTCTCTCCCCCCGGTGGGGCAAGGGATGGAGGTGCGTTTGGGTCCCTGGTCCCCTGCTCTCCTCTGTGTGCTAGCTATGCCATTTCATGCAGTGTGTAGCTACCGTGTTTTGTGGACTCTGTGGTGAACCTTGTGAGTACCGTGTACTGTGCAGGTTTAGAGACAGTGTCCTACTACGCAACCCAGGGAGTCGAACCAAAACCCAAATCCAGGAGCCTTTAGTTGTTAGGTGTGTAACTCCTCATCAACAACAACTGTAACAACATAATCATAACCCCCCCCCACCACCACCATCCTACTCCTCAACCCCTCCATCCATCCATCTATCCATACCAAGTCCCCTACAGTACTTTGCACATGGAAGACCTTCTTTCTGTGTGCAATGGCTTGAATGTGACTGACTGGCATGATGAGTGCTGTGGCATTCAAGGGGACCTCATGAATACGGAGCTGGCTGGCGGCCATTTTGGAGTGTGTCTGACCATCTGTCACTTCCTGTTTCCTGTGACAGGACCAGAGCGGAGCTGGAGCACGAAGCACTTATTGATGGTAACCTGGCAACCGAGGCCAACCTGATTATTCTGGACACTCTGGAGATCATCGTTCAGGTAGAAAGACACACACACAACATTCAGGTTGGACAATTGAGACAAATGTAGCTTCTGGGGACAATTGATTGATTGATGTATTATAATATGTGTATCTGCTGTCCGTCTGTATAGACGGTGTCTGTGACGGAGTCTAAGGAGAGTATCCTGGGTGGAGTGTTGAAGGTGCTCCTCCACAGTATGGCCTGTAACCAGAGTGCCGTCTACCTTCAACACTGCTTCGCTACACAGAGAGCTCTCGTCTCAAAGGTCAGATAAGTATATGTGTACGATCATGTAGTTATTCTTAGAGGGGTTGCAATTTTATGGGATTTTGTGAAATCATTTTGTACAATGTCTGCATACTGTAATTGTAATGTCTGTTTTTTATATCTTTGTCTGTCCTGTATCATCCATTTCTCTGTGCGTACATGTGTAGTTCCCGGAGCTGCTGTTTGAGGAGGAGACAGAGCAGTGTGCTGACCTCTGTCTGCGTCTACTGAGGAACTGTAGCAGCAGTATCGGCACCATCAGGGCCCATGCCTCCGCTTCACTCTACCTGCTCATGAGGCAGAACTTTGAGATCGGCAACGTGAGTACAACATCAGGACAACACATAGCAAACACGGATACAGAGAGTACTGTCTACCTGCCAGCTACGTTGCTATTTTCAATACAACTATTGATTCTCCACATGGGTTCCTTTTCAGGACATGTTAATGTACCTTTAGGTGTTCCATGTTCTCACTCCTACTGTCCCTGGTCCTTCTGTAGAATTTTGCGCGTGTCAAGATGCAGGTGACCATGTCCCTGTCCTCCCTGGTTGGAACGTCTCAGAACTTCAACGAGGAGTTCCTCCGACGTTCCCTGAAGACCATCCTGACCTACGGAGAGGAAGACCTGGAACTCCGGGAGACCACCTTCCCTGATCAGGTAACGCCACGGAGATATACTGGAGATCAATAGATTACTGACATTAAACCTTTTGTTATTGTAGTACAAAACATTAGAACTACTTGTACAATATATTAAAGTACTACTTGTACAATATATTAAAGTACTACTTGTTCAATATATTAAAGTACTACTTGTCCAATATATTAAAGTACTACTCGTTCAATATACAACACAATGAAAATGTGTCAGACCTCCCAGAAAATGGATGATATGATAGGAAGTACCTTATCCAATCATGTGAGATGATGACACCTTGTTAAACACGCTTCATGTCTTAATCTGTATTTCAGGTCCAGGACCTGGTGTTCAACCTGCACATGATCCTGTCTGATACCGTCAAGATGAAGGAGCACCAGGAGGACCCAGAGATGCTCATAGACCTCATGTACAGGTATGGAAGACACACACACACACACACACACACACACACACACACACACACAGTGAGCGTTCCTTGAGTGTGTTGCTGTGTCTTTGTCCAGGATCGCTAAGGGTTACCAGACGTCTCCAGACCTGCGTCTGACGTGGCTGCAGAACATGGCGGGTAAACACTCTGAGAGGACCAATCACGCGGAGGCAGCCCAGTGTCTGGTGCACAGCGCCGCTCTGGTGGCAGAATACCTCAGCATGCTGGAGGACCGCAAGTACCTGCCGGTCGGCTGTGTCACCTTCCAGGTGAGGCCATGGGAGAGGTCTATTTTAGAACTGTGTAGATGTGGGTACTTTGTTTGGACCAGGCAGTTATCCTCAAACCTGCTCCTGGGGAGACGTAGTACTGCATGTTTTGTCCTAGCTTAGTGCCATCACAACTGACTCAACTAATGAATTGATATACAGAGTAACATGTTCTAAAGAAAATGAATACCATGATGAACCCATTACAGTATTATGTCCATGTCTAAATAACTTGTCTCTCTGCATCAGAACATCTCTTCCAACGTGCTGGAGGAGTCAGCGGTGTCTGATGACGTGGTGTCTCCCGATGAAGAGGGTATCTGCTCGGGGAAATACTTCACAGAGGCTGGTCTGGTGGGGCTGCTGGATCAGGCTGCTTCCTCCTTCTCCATGGTGAGTAGCTGCATATGGATGATTCAGGATGGGCAGATTATCAAGCCTACATTTGGATCACATTACAAACCTGCTGACAAATTCACACGTTTCTTTCACTCCCAGTCAAGTATTTAACCTCCAGACTCCACCATTCCCAGTATTTAACTCTAAAGCTGTGCAGTGTGCATAATACTAAACTCCCCCCCCTCCCAGGCTGGTATGTACGAGGCGGTGAACGAGGTGTACAAGGTCCTGATCCCCATCCACGAGGCCAGCCGGGACGCCAAGAAGCTGGCCACCATACATGGTAAACTACAGGAAGCCTTTGGCAAAATCGTGCACCAGGTAAATCCACATGCTTTTTCCATCTCCTGTATATACTGTAGGTATAGAGAACAGACAGGACTGTTACGTGCTCAGCAGACACTGTTACGTCAATGTGGAGGTTGTGTAGGACTGCCTGTCTATCTGGGATTCTGGGACCGTGTGTTTCAGACATAGAAACAGGACTTTGTCATGTACTGTGACTCCTGTACCGTGTGTGTTAAGCTCAAGGACCCACCAGTACAAGGACCCATTGTCTGTGGGTGGCATGCTGAAACTAACATGCCAAATAAGTACACTTCCAGACAGACGCACGGTCACAAAACCCACTCACACACATTCGTACTCTCACACACATTGTTTATTATCACAAAGAATCACTGCACCGTTTTATAGAGGTCTCATAGACCCACAGACAAACATGAATTCACGCCACACTTCAGATACAGTCATTTAAACCCACACAATGCTCAATTTGTTCATATGCACACATAAACACACAATTACCAATGACCTGAACTGCTTTGCATGAAAACAATGATTTGCTGTTTTTCCCCAATGGAACTTTTATTTCCCCCTGGGAATTCAGAAAGAGGACCTGCCTACCCTGTCCTATGGATAGCTTTAAAGTGGCTATTCATTTAAATACAGTCTGCATGGGGTGACTATAGCAGTACAGCATGGCCTGTCCTAGAGGGGGGCCGCACTGTACCAACGTGACTAAACATGTGTTTTCATATTGTCCTGTGTTCTCTTTGTCACCACAGAGCACTGGCTGGGAGGTAGGTCGGTCGCTTAGTCATGGTTCCTGCTTGGCCCGCTCATTTACTTTCTGTCTACTTCATATGTATTATTTGCTAGTCCTGAGCCGTTATTGCTCTCGGCTGCACTGTTACTTTATACTGTACCATCCATTAACATCTACCTGCCTGGACTGGATGCTGTCCATCTGTCCCTCCGTCCATTCAACCAACTGTGGGACTGCTGATGCCATGTTACGGGCAGCAACCCCCCACACTTCTCTCCTCATTCTCCTCTTTCTCTCTTTCTGTGGAAGAGGAGATTGTTTTTTAATGCGACTGTTTTGGCAGGCCATGCATGGGAGCCCCAGTGTGACACTAATGACAAGTGTTGGTGAATGAATGCTTCACCTGTCTGCACCCCTGCCTTGTCAGACCATCTCTCTCATCAACGACAAACTGGTCATCTGCTCGCTCGCCTGTTGTCACAACTCATCTCATCTCCAGCCACAGGGTTCGATTTTAGTGCAAAGGATACACTCCCCAGGTTGTTCTCTAAAAACACACTCACACAAACAAATGAACCACAAAAGAACAAACTATTTTTCTAAACTTGCATTTGCCGTATGCAGTTCCAACTGGATCCACATTTATTGAAGAGATAGAACATTTCTTCAAGAGGGTGCAAGTCAAAGTAATCTGGATTGTTTAATTTGTCCGACCTTGATTTTGATGAGTTAATTTTTCTCCCTTTTTATTTGAAAAAGACAAACTAAATCGACCCCTGAGTTCTCTCGTTCATACGGCTGGTCTTCTGTTAACTGGTATTAACCTGGTCTGTTGCATGATAAGGATAGAGCACTCCTCCCTATTCTTCACAGAGGAAACTAAAGCACTGGGAGTACAGCCCCCTGAATAGTGTGTTTCTAGGGGCTGTGGAACTCACCACTTCACTACGCCTGCCTTTCTCTCTCTTCACTTCCTTTTGCTTCACTCTCTTTTCCTTGCATGTTTTGGATCCTCCACGTTGAGTTTGTGTTCTTTCTCAAAGTCAAAAGGAATGATATGTTTTTCCATTGGTGGTTGCTGTCAATTCTTTTTGTCTTGGTTTATGTTGTTGTTTCTGTTAGTTTCTCTAGTGAAGTACCTGAATCCTGATTTAAAATGTATTCTGTTTTCTCCTTTTGATTTCCCTGTTTGCCATGCCGACCCTTCCTTCCCACTTTACTTATTGTGTGTTGTGGTAAGTTCCTAGTCTGAGGGTTACTTAATTTCTGTTACATTTGAAAGGGGAACGTAATACAATGAACAATGCACTGACAAGGGCTGAGCCAAATGGCAGCGCAACTGATCACAAACGAATATATACATTGTATTTCACTGTATACCTATACAGTATGTTGTGCTACTGTAAGGTTGTGTAAATAATTGTGCAATACACCATATAAGAGCAGTATTGGGAGCCTGAACCCTTCAGCCTTGAGTTGACCTGGTTTGGCTCAGTCCTGGCAGGTTTCTGTACACTTGATGCCACGTATATCCTCCAACCTCCCCCTCCTCTTCACACACCTGCCGCACGCACACACACACACAACACACACACACACACAACACGCACACACACACACACACAACACACACACCTATTTCCTTCCCACGGCTGTACTCCTTCCTGATCCTGAACGGCAGAGCTCTGTCTGCTAGACACGTGACTCCTGTTCCTTCCTTTTTCGCTCGCGCTTTGTGGATTTCTCTGTCCATCATCACCATCCCTGGCCTTCTATATGGTGTCATTCAGTTAGGCTTCTGCCTTAGCTGCTCTCAATGGCCTCTCACTCCCCTTCCATCTCTCTGTAAGCCTCCTCAAGGCATTGAGCTCAACCTGCCTCTGCTATTCTATGTCTCTCTCACGTGGATGATATGGATGTACTTCATGTTTACAACCTGAGCTTCTGTTCTGGTTCTACCTCTTGAATGCCCATTTTGATCACCAATCTCTGTCTATGCTGTCTCCATATTATAAACCACTTCTCAACAAAGTCTCTTTACTCTTTGGTAAAACACCTGGTTCCATCCTGAAGCATCATGGGTTAGTTATTCTAGTGCAGAATCAGGATTACCCAGGAGCTTTTCTGAGGGCATCAGATGGGCTCTGGGCCATGGGGACCTTAGATTGTGACACTCTTTACACACGTGTACATACACATACACACACACAGTTTCTGGGTCATTGCACATACTCCAATCTGATCAGCAATAACATCACTGGTCAACAAGGTTATAAATAGTACCTCTGAGGGTTGTTGATCAATTCAAACATTTATATCAGTATCTATTATGCTGAAGTTTGTATGTTTGTTTTGTATTTGGTGTTGCAATTGAAGTGTTTGCTGATGATGAGAGAACTTAACCTCTATGGTTGAACTTGAACTCTATGGTTTCCCTGAGTTGGATGGATTCCAACTAATGTATCAATAGTCTGCCTCTGACATAATCAGACTCTGTCACCACAGAGTTACTACCGTGTTTCATCCTTACAGTTCCGATGACATTCTGTGTAAAAGCAACATGTTTCGGCCATGTACTATGTATGCGCTCGTATTACATCTGCACAGAGTAAAACATGTTTTCTGTCTCACAGGATGGGAAGAGAATGTTTGGTACTTACTTCAGAGTCGGATTGTACGGCTCTAAATTCGGGGACTTGGATGAGCAGGAGTTTGTATACAAAGAGCCTGCCATCACCAAGCTAGCTGAGATCTCACACCGACTCGAGGTAAATGGCAGTTTGGAGGAGTGTGTCTTTAGGAATGGTCTCTTCTCTGTGAAATGGTGATGCTCTGCGTGTGTCCTGTGCTGTGTTGACTTTGTGTTCTGTGTGTTTGTTCTCTTAGGGGTTTTATGGCGAGCGCTATGGAGAAGACCAGGTGGAAGTCATTAAGGACTCCAATCCCGTGGACAAGTGCAAACAGGACCCAAATAAGGTGTGTGTTTGTGTGTTTGGATGGGGTTGGGGAGAGGGTTTGTGGATAAAGATATGATTCCAAATAATCACTTAATTGAATACAAATTGAATCAAAGCATGATCAAATAAATAGCCTTTTTGGTTATTAGAAGGTTATTGGTTATTAATTGGTTATGTGTATTTTAGTTAGTGTTGGTAAAGCATCATGTTAACCAGGCGTCACTGCTGTGTGTCCAGGCTTATGTCCAAATCACGTACGTGGAGCCGTACTTCGACACATACGAGATGAAGGACCGCATCACGTACTTTGACAAGAACTACAACCTGCGGCGGTTTGTCTACTGCACGCCGTTCACACTGGACGGGCGGGCGCACGGGGATCTGCACGATCAGTTCAAACGCAAAACCATCCTGACCACATCCCACGCCTTTCCCTACATTAAGACCCGCATCAACATCATCCACAAAGAGGAGGTGAGGCCCTAGGGTTTCATCTGACTGGCATGCAGCACCACAGGCAACACATCACTAGTACATGACCTCTACAACCTAACTCCTAGAGGGATCATCCACAGGTCAAACTACTCTCTTTTAGAGAAATCAACATATACAGACACACATTCATAAGACACACAGCACACACTTCTTTGTTTCTATACGTTCTATATAATCAGTGTTTCTAATTGTCTGATGTTCTCTCTCTGGTCCTGTTAGATCATCTCCATGCCCATCGAGGTGGCCATAGAGGATATGCAGAAGAAGACCCAAGAGCTGGCCTTCGCTACCCACCAGGACCCGTCTGATGCCAAGATGCTGCAGATGGTGCTGCAGGGGTCAGTTGGGACTACCGTCAACCAGGGACCTCTGGAGGTGGCACAGGTGTTCCTGTCAGAGATCCCCAGTGATCCTAAACTCTACAGACACCACAACAAACTACGCCTCTGCTTCAAAGACTTCACCAAGAGGTAAATGACACTGTTATTTTACAGTTAGTTGGAGTTTTTAAAGTAAGATTATGGACGCCCAATTTCCTGGGCATGAATGAATGTCAAATAAAAGAATGCATGCAAAATTGCTTCTGCCAAGTTCCTTCGGACTTATGTGTAAGGCATGTTGAAGTGCAGTGCTCACGCCTCTCCTATCCTCCATCCCCAGGTGTGAAGATGCCCTGCGTAAAAACAAGAGTCTGATTGGTCCAGACCAGAAGGAGTACCAGAGGGAGTTGGAGAGGAACTACCATCGCCTGAAGGAGGCGCTACAACCACTCATCTGCAGAAAGATACCCCAGCTTTATAAACCTGTGCTGCAGGTCAACTCTCACAGGTGTGTGCGCATGTTCACGTGCACGTGTAGACAAGCAGGAACATACTCTTTCATTTTAGTGTTTTTATGATATGCATTTGGACATATATCTGATATTGCACGTGTTCGCTCTGACTGTTCATGCATCCCCCCCCCCCCCCACATAAATATGATATTTTGCTTGTGCTTCTGTTACATGCAGCAAACGGACAGCTTGACCAGGTAGTTTGGTATTCTCTGATTGGAACCTTCTCTGTAAAACTGTCTGCACTGGGTCTCTACAGGTTGGAAGGTTATATCCATGTCCAATCCGGTATGGCTTCCCCATATTTCACTAACTTTACACTGTGCTTTTTCCCCCCACAGAGATTCCTTCAGCAGAATGAGTCTCCGCAAGCTTGAACTTTGAAGATGAAGAATCACAACCTTAATTTATTCATGTGTAAATACTGAGAGTCAGTGTCTTCAGAAAGTCAGTGTTCCCCATAGCCAGCGGAAGGAAAGCTAAAGTGTTACTACGAACTCGGTACATCATTCCAGTGTCTTATTCGTTTACAGGCAGCCTGTTACGCAATCAGTGGGTTTAACAAAGTGGAACTTACTACGTATAATGTGTCAAATCTGTATACATATTTCATGTGTGCACTTTCTTTTTTCGTGTATCATTGCATTTTATGACTTTAAAGTTTATTATTTAATCCAAAATGAGAAAAAAAACTAGCAAAAGATGTGCCACCACTCTTTGTCATAATGATTTATTTTTAGTTAAGATACATTTGTTTAAAGTTAAGGAAATGTTTTAAACATCATGAATAGTTTTATGTAGTTTTTGTTTACTTTAAGTATTTTACTAAATCATTATTTTAATGTCCAATGGATGCACTGGTATTTTCTTTGTGATGGGGGATTTCAATGGAATATGGGTTTCCCAGTCAGGGAAAGATTTCCATGGTCATCTATAAACAAATTCAAGCATGTCACCTGAAATACAAAATGAGATCAGAGAGGGGTGACGCGAGAGGGATAACTGGGCCAAAGATTATGGATATACTGACAAGATACTTGTCTCTCCGCCCTAACAATGGGGGGGATCGTCCACAAAGCAGAACAGATGTCTGTCTAGCTCCTGCCTATCCTTTCTTTGGATTGGTGGATACATCTCTTTATTGTAATAGATTTTTTAAATATTTTATGAGGGTTGTTGACGTCAACCGCCTGTATTCAATGGAGAGAGATGCTATGCTACTAGCCTCATGTAATGAATATGCATTACCATTCCGATATCAGTAGCGGTGCGTGGGTAACATCACTGGGGAAGCCAAACCAGAAAAAAAGCCATATTACATGTGTTGTGATAATTGCGTTGTTTGCTCTGTAACCTGTTAGTTGATATACCTTGCGACCGTGATATATAGGCCTAAGGCCGAGACAATAAGAAGACACATTTGCAGAATAAATTCAACCACACCTTTGTTTCATCACAAAACCGGAGTGCAACCTCTGTCCGGTGAAGTCCACAAAGCATATAGCATGTAACAAACAGTTACATGACCTACAGCATGGTCAAGCAAGTTAAGGTTTCTGACATTTTCAGACCACTAAGCAACTATTGATTTAGAACCACAGAGTTACCGCAAGTCGCAAAAGAAAACAGGAGCTGCCACCACTCTTCCAGCACCATTTCAACTTCAATATTTCTACATCAAATCACCTATGCTTAGTCTAATACAGTGACAACTAAAAGATACCAAAAACAACTGTCCAATCAACATAAGCTAAATATGATGTGGGTGTCCATGGTTCTGATTTCTGTGTTCATTCAAGTAGAAAAAACATGTTGACTCACCCTACTTGTAGAAAAATGCCAATGCCATCCTCTTTCATGTTGACGATACGGTCTATCAATCAATCAATCAATTTTATTTTATATAGCCCTTCTTACATCAGCTAATATCTCGAAGTGCTGTACAGAAACCCAGCCTAAAACCCCAAACAGCTAGTAATGCAGGTGTAGAAGCACGGTGGCTAGGAAAAACTCCCTAGAAAGGCAAAACCTAGGAAGAAACCTAGAGAGGAACCAGGCTATGAGGGGTGGCCAGTCCTCTTCTGGCTGTGCCGGGTGGAGATTATAACAGAACCATGCCAAGATGTTCAAAAATGTTCATAAGTGACAAGCATGGTCAAATAATAATCAGGAATAAATCTCAGTTGGCTTTTCATAGCCGATCATTAGAGTTTAAAACAGCAGGTCTGGGACAGGTAGGGGTTCCATAACCGCAGGCAGAACAGTTTAAACTGGAATAGCAGCAAGGCCAGGCGGACTGGGGACAGTCTATCACTCTGTCATACAGTACACGCTTTTATTTTTTTGTTGTCCTAGGCTACCTGGCTAAAATGCTTGCTCGCTAGCCTAACTTCCTTTCATGGGCAACGAGGACAACAAAACAACACAACGAGATGCAACAATTCAAGTTGTTTCTGTCAACTTATTGCTCTCGATGTGATGCGAGTGAAGTGTCAAATCCAAACTGGCTTCCCTTTACACTTTGTTTTGAGCTAACTCAGCCTCAAGGGAGGCCAAATGCTCGCTGGCTCTGATGCTTTCTCTGGTGAGATACATTCAGCCTCATGCGAATTGAAGGAAAATTATGAAACCGAGAGACGAAAGATACATTATTTTACAGTGCATTCGCAAAGTATTCAGACCCCTTGACTTTTTCCACATTTTGTTATGTTACAGCCTTATTCTAAAATAGATAAAATTGTTTTTTTTATTCTCATCAATCTACACACAATACCCCATGATGACAAAGCAAAACCAGGTTTAGAAAGTTTTGCACATTTATAAAAAATAAATAAACATCACTTACATAAGTATTCATACCCTTTACTCAGTACTTTGAAGCACTTTTGGCAGCGATTACAGCCTCGAGTCTTCTTGTGTATGACGCTACAAGCTTGGCACGCCTGTATTTCGGGAGTTTCTCCCATTCTTCTCTGCAGATCCTCTCAAGCTCTGTCAGGTTGGATGGGGAGCGTCGCTGCACAGCTATTTTCAGGTCTCTCCAGAGATGTTCAATCGGGTTCAAGTCCGGGCTCTGGCTGGGCCACTCAAGGACATTCAGAGACTTGTCCCGGAGCCACTCCTGCATTGTCTTCGCTGTGTGCTTAGGGTCGTTGTCCTGTTGGAAGGTGAACCTTTGCCCCAGTCTGAGGTCCTGAGAGCTCTGGAGCAGGTTTTCATCAAGGATCTCTCTGTACTTTGCTCCGGTCATCTTTCCCTCGATCCTGACTAGTCTCCCAGTTCCTGCTGCTGAAAAACATCCCCAAAGCATGATGCTGCCACCACCACGCTTCACCGTAGGGATGGTATTGGCTAGGTGATGAGCGGTGCCTGGGTTCCTCCAGATGTGACACTTGGCATTCAGGCCAAAGAGTTCAATCTTGGTTTCATCAGACCATGGGAATCTTTTTCTCATGGTCTGAGAGTCCTTTAGGTGCCTTTTGGCAAACTCCAAGCAGGCTGTCATGTGCCTTTTACTGAGGAGTGGCTTCCGTCTGGCCACTCTACCATAAAGGCCTGATTGGTGGAGTGCTGCACAGATGGTTGACCTTCTGGAAGGTTCTCCCATCTCCACAGAGGAACTCTGGAGTACTCCCTGACCAAGGCCCTTCTCCCCGATTGCTCAGTTTGGCCGGGCGGCCAGCTCTAGGAAGAGTTTTGGTGGTCCCAAACTTCATCCCTTTTAAGAATGATGGAGGCCAGTGTTCTTGGGGACCTTCAATGCTGCAGAAATGTTTTGGTACCCTTCCCCAGATCTGTGCCTCGACACAATCCTGTCTCGGCACTCTACGGACAATTCCTTCGACCTCATGGCTTGGTTTTTGCTCTGACATGCACTGTCAACTGTGGGACCTTACAGTGGGGAAAACAAGTATTTAGTCAGCCACCAATTGTGCAAGTTCTCCCACTTAAAAAGATGAGAGAGGCCTGTAATTTTCATCATAGGTACACGTCAACTATGACAGACAAATTGAGAGAAAAATATCCAGAAAATCACATTGTAGGATTTTTAATGAATTTATTTGCAAATTATGGTGGAAAATAAGTATTTGGTCACCTACAAACAAGCAAGATTTCTGGCTCTCACAGACCTGTAACTTCTTCTTTAAGAGGCTCCTCTGTCCTCCACTCGTTACCTGTATTAATGGCACCTGTTTGAACTTGTTATCAGTATAAAAGACACCTGTCCACAACCTCACAGTCACACTCCAAACTCCACTATGGCCAAGACCAAAGAGCTGTTTGAACTTGTTATCAGTATAAAAGACACCTGTCCACAACCTCACAGTCACACTCCAAACTCCACTATGGCCAAGACCAAAGAGCTGTCAAAGGACACCAGAAACAAAATTGTAGACCTGCACCAGGCTGGGATGACTGAATCTGCAATAGGTAAGCAGCTTGGTTTGAAGAAATTGTAGTGTCTGAGGGATTATGACTTTGCTAATGTTTTCAAAGTGGAACCTGAGAGGATGTTTATTCAGTTTTAGGGGGAGCAGTTTTAGAGGGACACCCCATAGAACAGAGGAAGTCTGTTGTGTGGAGACAGGTGATTGGTCAGTATGGGAAACCACCCATATCCTGGTAAAGATTATAAGTACTGGTTTGAGACAAAGAAGATCAGAACAGACATATTATTTTGGGATACTGTTCTCCAGATGCTGCAGACGTCTGTAAACTTATGCTGAAATCTTGTGATATAAATAACTTATAATCAAAGTACAGTATAAGCGGACTCCTTGGTTTCACAGCATAATTAGCAACGTTTACTCGACACAACAAAATCAACTGTGGGAGCAATTATTAGGAAATGGAAGACATACAAGCCACTGATAATCTCCCTTGATCTGGGGCTCCACGCAAGATCTCACCCTGTGGGGTCAAAATGATCACAAGAACGGTGAGCAAAAATCCCAGAACCACACGGGGGGACCTAGTGAATGACCTGCAGAGAGCTGGGACCAAACTAACAAAGCCTACCATCAGTAACACACTACGCCGCCAGGGACTCAAATCCTGCAGTGCCAGACGTGTCCCCCTGCTTAAGCCAGTACATGTCCAGGCCCGTCTGAAGTTTGCTAGAGTGCATTTGGATGATCCAGAAGAGGATTGGGAGAATGTCATATGGTCAGATGAAACAAATATAACTTTTTGGTAAAAACTCAACTCGTCATGTTTGGAGGACAAAGAATGCTGAGTTGCATCCAAAGAACACCATACCTACTGTGAAGCATGGGGGTGGAAACATCATGCTTTGGGGCTGTTTTTCAGCAAAGGGACCAGGACGACTGATCCGTGTAAAGGAAAGAATGAATGGGGCCATGTATCATGAGATTTTGAGTGAA